GGTGTTAACCTTTTAATTCAAACACAAATGCATTATTTTACCAATTTTTCCCTCATGACATATAAAGTGTTAACAGGTTTTGTATTTTACTCACAGAAAGTTTATTCATGTGAATTTTCACAACATATTAGCCTGCTAATGAATGGTTAGAAATATGTAAATGAGGTTACTGTTGACTAGTGTGCCTTTGACAACTGGAACCAGCTTTTTTGGGGTTAAAACATAGAAAACACAGAACTTCAAGTGACAGAAGTAAGGCAGCTGAAGAACTGAGGAAAGCACATGAAAGTTGAAGTGACACATCAAGTCACTGAGAACCATCAGTGTGACACGTCCAAGTCTTTGAATTGTGACACGTCCAAGTCTTTGAATTGATGCCTCCTGCCTCTCACAGGTGCTTTCGGCCTGATCACTGTCAACCGTTGTCCCGTGATAAATGTCAGCGTTAAAGGTTTTTACCCACTTTGAATTAGCCACATTGCGTCAGATCATGGAGACCGTCATGCTGGCCTCTTTAGGAAAATAAATCCTGCATGAAACTTTGAAGTGAGGCTCCCAGTCCTAAGCCTCCATGTTGCAGATGATCTGTGTGTGCTTGATTAGTGATGCAGAATATAAACATCCATGTTGGTAGAGTCTACTTTAAAGGAACAGCACTAAGATGTAATTACAAGCCAGCAAAAAGCTGACCTCACTGGTTGGAGTAAAATCTAAGCAGACCAACTCCCTCAACCTTCAACCCAGAAACACCACCCTTCCACCCACCCACCTGGATGGCTGTGAGGCGTCCTTAATGATTAATCTGTGGAGTCTCTGCCAGCCATCACAGATAATTACACAGAAATATTCTGACTCCAAGGATTTTGGAGTCTTCTCAGTGAATCAGTCAGGTAAATCTGACACGGGGGATGATCACGTTGATGTTCCCACCACAAATCAGCCCAAGATCTCCTCTGCTGCAGATGGAATCAGTCACACTGTTAGCATGGATAAAGGATATCATCTGCATTTCTTAAACTTTTGTTTTTGGCTCAGTGATGGATGCTGTTCATGTTTATAAATGTGTTTTTTTTCCAGTGAGACATTCGTTGGCTGATTCTTATGAATCAGTGATCCCACCGTGTTTTCCACCTGACATGTGCTGTTACACAAATAAACATCAGTTATGTCTTTGTTTAAGGAGTGGCCTCCATGTCCTGATTTTCTCTGACCATTATTGAATTGCACCAACAAAACCAAGCATAAAAATTCTTCTGTCATAATCAAGCATGTTTCTGTTTGGTTTCCATGGATTTTACAGTGCTTTTATCCGTCCTCAGTCATTCAGCTGAAGTAGACAGGAAAACACCTTGAAGGTGTGTTTGTGTGTGTGTGCAACTTCTGTTAAACGTAACCATAACAAGCCTCCTCCACATTTTTAACTGCCACTTCTGAAATGTACTGATCAGGTTAAGAGCCACTCTGGAGATGGGTGTGATCTGTTTGCTTTGTATTGATTACACCCAGAGGCCAGAGTCATAAAAGAGAGTGACGTGACATCATCATTATCGTTATGCAATCACAAGCAACCTGCAAGGCTGATTTACCTCAAAACAACAAGTTGGGTTCAGCCCAGCTACTTTTAGTTGTTTAAAGGTGTACTTGGTGATGTTTTTATCAATCATTTTTTGCCGTTTTGAAATGCTCTTTACAGGCTGATGACATTCAATAAATTAAATGTTTTGTCAAAAAAAGAATAATTTTAATCTTCTCTGAAATGTACAATCCTGGAAAAACGTCCTGTTCTTGAAGAGTGAGTCTGAACCCATTCCTCAAGCTGCCTCATCTAGAGCCAGTTTAAGCCTCTTTAAGAAAATGATGCCGCAAATTGGCCAAAACGCCATGGCAGCATCAGGGAGCCTAAGGCTGTTTGTAAGTGATCAGACCGTGGCAGTAATGTGGCGCAATTGTGTCCTTTTTACGAAAGATTACGTGATGGCGGTAGAAAGGGGGTATGCGGTCTCTGCGTTTCCGCGGACTTCCTTTTACCTTGGGCATAACTTGCTTTTTACTGCGATCGAAGCAGCGTTCATTAAGTTTTTTAAACAAGCCTCCTAAAGGCGTCTGTCCCCCACAGTCCCTGTGCAGTCTCTGGTGATCTGACCTCCAGCTCTAATGGAGAGAAGCTCCTGGAGCTCTGCATCACTCCAGTTTATCATTTCAGTTACATCTGTTAACAAAAGTAATATGCATTCACAAGTCCAGCATTACGGTAATGTTACTACCAAGTGTGCATGGCGGCGCGAATTCCGCTAAATTCCCACAACGCCATGCCGCCATGGCGCGTTCATAAGACACAGAACCGTGGCGACAGTATTGGGCTGATTTGCCAGCATGGTGTGTCTTCTAAAAAGGGCTTTAGATTCACTAGTTAAGCATGTTGTCGTGGTCTGAGGTGAGCTCATCCTCTGATCAGCCTCTAGCGTTCATTTCAGGTGAGCGGTGTCTGAACGGGACCAGCTGCAGCAGTTTCATCATCAGCCACTGCTGGCTTAAAAGGAGGAGGGAGACCACTGCTCAACACCGGTTGATTACTCCACACGGATCCTGCTCAACTTCACACCTTCAGCCATACTCCTGGACCTCTCTTCAGCCTGCATCTTCCTCCCCACAGTCCCGTTCACCACCACTCATCCACCGCTCTCTGGAACCCTTATCCTGACCCCACTGGACACTTGGGTCCTGCCACCTCAGACCTCACGGACCTCCCCGCGTACCAACTCCCCAACAGCACAGTAAGACCTCCACTCCTCCTCCACCTTCATACCACCAGAACTCCCACTTATCCAGAATCTATTTGCAGGTCCAGGTCTGTGCTCCCTGTGATTAATGACTTCTATTAGTAAAAAATGTATCTGCTTTCCTCAAACATAACAACCAAAGCGGTCCAAATGTAACCCCAGAATGACCTAAATATTTGTGCAGGGCAAAAGTTTGTCTAGATATAATAAATCACATCAGGAATGAACAGGGCAAAGAACCTCGTCAGACTTGTAGCTACATTTCACTTGCATGTCTTTGTTTTTTACACGGGTCCTTTTACACAGGTGTTAAATAAAGGCAAATAGAAAGTGTTTTGCGTCTTAAGCATGTGTGTGTCTGACAGAGATGGAGATCAGATCTCACTCAACAACCAGTTAATGCAGTTTGTGAGTCAGACACAAACCTTCATGCTGAACGACATTAGTGTTTAATCACTGCTGACAGTGTTTACTGTCTGGTTTGTTGTTTTCATAACCAGTGGCGGTTCTACATGGAATTACTCCCCGGGCGAGGCCCCCTTTTTTTATGTGGCCAGTTCACACAATTCAGAAAAACCTGAAAGAATGATAGGCCTGTGTTTATGATATTATGAATGAAATGTGCGTTAAATGGAAGAACATCAAGATGTGATTGACTTTAGCCATGTTAATACAGCTGATTCAGCCCCTACCCGCTCATTTCATTTGGGAAAGACCCAGAGGTGAATTCCCCCGCCACACCCCTCCCCTTCCTGTTCTTCGTACACACACGGTGCACCCATCGACATAAGGGTGCACCTGAACCCTCTGAAGGTTGGTTTATGCTTGACGCGTTCGCGAGGTCCGCATGGCTCCGCGCGGAAAAGTTGCGTCATTTTGCGTCATTTTAACAACCACGCCCCTCCACCGCGCCTCCGCACGGCCCAGAATTTCTGCAACGCCCACCTCGGAAAATTTCTAACCACGCGGACGGACGGACGCGGAAAAACATGGCGGACCGGCAAGAACTAGTACGGCAGAGGTTCGTAAATACAGACATTTGTATGATTCAGCTCTCAGAGATCACCGTGATCAACATGTTGTTAATAATTCTTGGAGACAAATAGCTCGCACTGTCGGAAAAGACGAGGACGCTGTTAAAAATGCTGAAATGCCATGTTGTAAACAACAGTAATTTCTACTTCTACTATGGTGTAGTGTTGGGTGCATGTCGTAGAGCTCCATGCTGCCCCGTTCAGTTTGGGAGAATATTGGCTCACCGCAGAGACGAGCCGCACGAACCATAAACGCTGCGAGTTGTGAAGCGCGTTCCATCCGCGAGCCGCATCACCAAGCGGAAAGTGAATGCTTCAAGCATAAACCAAGCTTCAGTCAGCAGGAGCGCCTGCATCTGCAGGGGGCGCCAACTTGCTGTTTCCAATCCAGACTCTGTGATATGACAGATAGAATAGAAAACCTCGGTGCGGCGCAGATTTATTTCTTTTTTATTTTTTACTCAGCGCTTGTGCGCCCCTTTGGTCTCATGAAAAAATGCTGCCCCGGGCAACTGCCCTGTCTGCCCGTGCCTAAAACCGCTACTGTTCATAACATCAGTTAACATTCTGTTCAGAGAAGGATAAGATGTCACACAGGAAATGGACTATAACCAACACCCAGCAGGTCCTTTTTTCAGAGAATAACAATTGTGTGCGTGATTTTTTTTTATTTCAAAACTGATTATTTTATTGTCTAATGTTATTATAACAACTACGTAATAATCTGTTTAATTCCATTTTATAAATAAATAACAACAGTTATATATAAACAAATTAAGGGCCATCGTGGCCCTTGGGAGCGCCCTTGGAGGTAACCATGCTACTGCACCTCCCTCCACACCCCAACTGAATCCAACATGGGTCACATGTAAGTCTTAAACCAACGGTGTGTTGTTGCTCCTTTCATGTCAAGTTTGAACAGAACAAGAACAGATGTAATTTTATCTGCTGTTTTCACTTCTTCTTTGATTATCTTCCTCCATAAAAGAAGCTCTCTAAATTATCATTTTACTCAAAGAAAAAGTTCATTTTGTCATGACCGATCGTGTAGTTATATATATATATATATATATATATATATATATATATATATATATATATATATATATATATATATTTTTTTTTTTTTTTTTTTTTTTTTTTTTTTTTTGCGTGCTGACCCGTCCCAGCCTCTCCACCCACTGTGACAAATAAATAAATAAATAAAAAACCAGAAAGTTTGCGCAAAACTATTTCCTCGGTGCTATAAATACAAGAGGAGCGCACATCTGCACACACACGAGGCGTGGTCAGTCCGCGTTAACAGGTGGGGCGGTGTCCGCACGGCTGTTGTCTTTCTACCTCCGCACAGGGACTCGTTTCTCATCTCCGCAGCCGCGCCAGCAGCAACATGCCGAAGTGCCCCAAGTGTCAGAAGGAGGTTTACTTCGGTAAGTTTTATTTATTTCTGCAGCTGCAGACATGTCAGCATTTCCTGGTTTTGAGTTTTGTGCTAAAACGAGGAAACAGGAAGCTGAATTTAACCAGCATGTAGAGTTTGGAGAGGATTTAGTTATGAAAAAAGAAACTTAAACATTGACAATTTGTTCATATTTTTAAATGTACCAAAATGCGTCCAATTAAAAAATATTAAAACAAGAAAATGAGGGAAACGTTTTATTTATGTTTGCATTGATTCGTAGATTTGACTGATAGTTATTTAATTACAGATTTAGTATTTATAGAGAAAGGGGAAGCTGTGGTCTCCTGGTGTTACATAATTTTAATGTGCAAATCCACACTTAAAGAAGAAGAGAGCAGTAAATGGTTCATGCATCCTTTCTGCAGATGATGGCACACTCCAAAGGTCACTGCTCTCTTTTCAGCCTTCTTGTTATCAGATAACTTTGTTTGAGATCTTTGCTCCCATCGGGAGCCAATTTCCTCCCTGTTGAGTCATGAGCTCCGTGACTGATGACCAAACTGAGCAGAGGAAGCAGGTTTAAAATCCTCCTTTCCCGTTCATCTCATGTGGATGCCGTCCCACTCATTTAGACAGAAATGTATCTGCATCTCAGTGTTGCAGCAGATCATTTTTCCCAGAGAAATCCTGAACCAAAAGCCAAAGCTTTGGGCTGTCAGAGTTAGATAAGAGGAGCCTGCTTTTCCACTTTCGTGGATAAAGTTCCTGGCTAGAACAAATATGCCAATTAGCTACTGTCAAAACAAACCATTAAGCCTTTTTTCAGGGGAGGTTCTGTGGCAGAAAAGCAAAACTTTTCTGGATGCACAGCTGCATCATTAACGTGAAGTGTCCACATCGATTTCCCACTTTGCTCTGCAGTCTAAACTCTCCATCCACCTCAGCCTCTCCCCATCTTTGCGTGCTGCTGGTCTGATTTAATGTTCTCTCAGATGGAAACAATCAGGCTACCACTGCCTGTGTGTGAAGGATGGAGGTCCAGCAACAGTAGAAAAACGTTTCCCTCAAGCTGGAAACTCTCAGACAGTCGTGCTTTGAGCAGCAAGACCAGCGCCGAGGAAACTATGTTAGTTGAGCGAAGGCAACAATAGAAGCGAAACCACTATGAGTTCCTGCAAAAAGTGTTTTTATGGATATCTTTATTATCTCAGAATATCAAATATTTAAAGCAAATATTTTCACTTGATTTATAATATATAATAATGATACTTTTCTGGTTATTTTTTATATTTTTATGCATGTCTAAGTGTCTCCAACGGCATCCTTTGATAGTGTTTTTCCAGTCGGATGTGCGTTTATGTACACTGGACTGTTTCCACAGCGCGCCACGCATCAAGAGTTGAGGCAGATGAGCTACCTCTTCTGTCATCATTCACGCTGCGTTAGCTGTTGCACTGCCAGGTGGAAACACCAAATAAAGCTTATAAGCTGCTGTTTACCCAGTCCTGTAGTTGGTTTGGAGTGATGGGTTGGAGGTTTTTGTAACTCTGATCCAAAAGGATGACCCGCCCTTGCACTAAATCACTACTTCCTGTCTTTTTGGGGCTATTTTTAAGAAAGAATGTATCCTTTGCTGATATTTTATCTGAGTGGAGGCCGTCAACACCACCCTGTATCCATCTGTGTCCCATTTTTTTACCGTCATGCTGAACTTGTTCAAATATGCAGCAAGTTGACTTTAGGACCTCACTATTTTCAGTATTTCCCGTGTTTAAGACCCCTTCATCTCTGAACTTGGTTACGAGCTCCCTAAAAATCTTTCTAGTGCAGATTTTTTAAGGTCAACATTTCAGTGAGAATCCTTCTTGATGGGCGTTTGCTTCGATCGACCAAAACAGATAAAGACGTGTTTATCAGAGTTTGAGGCAGGAGGACAGACTCCTTTTTTCCCCCCTCTCTCTACGGCCACGCCCAACAATTTTCTGCAGTGAGTGCATCTCTGTGGCGTAAAACAGCGATGGTGATTAAAATTCACAAATCGATGACGCTGTGTGCTCTGCAGCGTGACTCCCTGACTTCCATCACCCATCCAGACAACAGTATCTGTCTTTGTGGCAGCGGCCTGAAGGTTTTTAAACATTCTTCTGCTTTTTGTGTATTCGGCAGCTGAGAGGGTGACATCACTGGGGAAGGACTGGCACAGACCATGTCTGAAGTGTGCAAAGTGCAACAAGACACTGTCTCCTGGCTCTCACGCAGAGGTAAAATCTCTGAGCAGCATAGCATGAACGTATTCTGTTACACGGCTTTAATCCTTTATTTACACTTAACTAGGGATGTTCTCAAAAGGAAATGTTTAAAACATTTTTGTAACTAAACAAACCGACTCTTTCAGCATGAAGGCTCTCCATACTGTCACAATCCCTGCTATGGTGCCATGTTTGGACCTAAGGGTGAGTCGGATCTCTTCAGATAATTCATGTAACTCAATCCCAACAACACGTGTCAAATTTAAACTTAAAGTGTATAAATGTCAGAAAAATCCCCACTGGCATTAAATGTTGGCTTCAATCAAACGTGAGAGGAGGTATGTTTAGGTGTTTGAATTTTCCGACTTTTATCGAGATAATTTTTCCCATGTCAATAAATGTCATTAAAAAATGCAAAGATGTGTGTAGGTTGGCAACGTTCATGTCCCTTTAAGAAGCTGTACCACCTTAAGTCATGTGATGTAATACCTGTGACAGCCCCATCTAGTGGGCAGCTTTTGTTTCTGCGCATACCTGTAGTTATCGTCCAACTTATCGTTATCGAGGTGAAATCCTCAATACATCGCGATATCGATTTTAGGCCATATCGCCCAGCCTTGAGGCAACCTTTGTGATATTTGTCAACTTCCAGCTGTAAAGTAAAAAAAAAACCTTCCAGTTATCTTCATAAAAGTTATTTTTAAAATTGAATTCCCTCATTTGTTATGTTTCAGGATTTGGACGTGGTGGAACTGAAAGCCATGCCTACAAATAAACAGGTACACTTCACAAGGACATTCATGCTTTTACTTCATCTGATTTACATTTTACTTGCATGACGTGTATTCTTTTTTTTTTTTTGTCATCAGGACCTCGCAGCGAACACGTTCTCTGGAAAGAAGATCGAAGTAACCACACCTAACAAATAAAACCTGTAAACATTTAGTGCTTTAATTTAGAGAAAAATGTCCACGTACTTTTATTCTATGACCTTTTGGACTGCATTGTTTTATTTCATTTTTAATTTTGCATTCCCAAGTTTAGCCATGAGGAGTTTGCACTCTGATCACATGTCGTCTGAATAAACAATGAGTCAAATTTCAGTTGTTTCTTAATCAATTTCAATCCCTATTATCACTAAAAAGCCACTACACAGTGGTGCTATTTTAAACATTAGGCTTCATGGTAACAATTTAGAGTTCTTTGTTTTGCAAAAATGTACAACTAAGCTATTTTCATGAAACATAAGTTTATCTCAGAAGGCAATAAAAGTCTCATGATGCTGGTCTGATAACAAGCACTCATCTAAAAAAACCGAACCCTGGATATGCCAGTCAAGTTATGCAGTCATGAAAATGTTTTAACGATTCCTGATTCCAAAGTATAAAGATGCATATTGAAACTGTTTGCCCCTGCATAAAAGCCTGAATACATGTGCAGCTGCATTGTGGGTAATGACACAACCTCGGAGCAGCTGAGGCCACCCCGACTCTCCGCTGATCCACCAGAAGCGCCCCCTTTCATCGTCCTGATCTCTGTCTGCAGCCATCTGCTCGCTGCGCCCGGCTCCTCTTATCTTTGTCCAGCAGTTGCTATGGTAACTGAGCTAAACAAGCCCCAACAAAGAGCCAGTTTGTCTGTCATGCTCTCCTGTGCAATAAAGATACTTCCTGTGACAGAAAAAAAAAATGCTCGACAACAATAAGAACATGCAGTTGGTGTTTTGGAAGGAATGCATTTTTTTTTTACTTCTTCTGGAAACAATCAGTGAAATGAGCTTGGGTTTTATGTGAGAGCTGCAGTCATAATGTGCCTTCACCCATTTCCTATGTCTTCTGTTTGGCCTCGAGTCTTCCAAGTGGATCTCTCCTCTGATCATTAATGTATTCCAATGAAAACTTTCCTCTCACATCGTTTTGTGCAGGAAAACCCACACCTTCTAGATATTTGTGCGAGCCCGGAGCGTTACGGTTCTCTCCTGGAGATTCTGAAGTTTTAAATGTGAACAGGAGAGCGTACAAGACGAAGCACAACAAACCTAGTGAGTGAAGATGTCTGGCTCCTCACGGCCTCTTGCCTTCTGCTTGGTATTAATCATGTAAAACGTTTCAGTTCTACCATGACTCACATGACTAAATACCTCCACAACATGTGACACCATCCTGAGGTACCACACAACAGCCGTATTGGTCAGTTATATCCATGTGACCTCAGTGACTTTAGAGATCTTAACTAGAAGAGGTTAAAAGCGTCCAACCAGTCAAAAAAAATCCCCTGAATGATTAATAATCAGCACTGTTTTCATCAGGGTGAAGATCAGCAGATCAAGATCATTTATCTTGTTGCTCTTTTAGCTTTCAGATTATTTTCCTTTTACAGTTTATGTAAACACTCTAAACATCCAGGTCAAACCATTAAAATCATGAGTATTTAAATGTGCACAACAAAAAATCTAAACAAACACAAAAAACACATTTTAGAGCGTACAACATGATTATTGCTGAATGTCAGCAGTCGTTCACATTAAATAACAGAGGTGTGACCAAGTCACTACTTTACAAGTCACAAGTAAGTCACAAGTCTTTTCTGTCAAGTCAAAGACAACCAAGTCCAAGTCAGGTCCAAAGTCAATTACGTGGAAGTCCAAGTCAAGTTCAAGTCCTTAACTTTGAATTTTCAAGTCATAATCAAGTCATCTGCCCAGCTTCAATTTAATGGCAATAATAATAAACAAATTACAGAAAAAAAGCTTCTTAAAGCTTCATTTATTTGCTCGAACAAGCAGAAAGTGCAACTGAAACTGATTATAATCAAAGTGCTGCTGCATTTAGCAGTACAAGATCACACCCAGAACCAAGAATGATTTATGATTTTTGTCCACATCGTGTCACTTTTGTGCTAAAATATCAAATATGCTCAAGTCATCATCAAGTCAACAGATGCAAGTCGATTCAAGTCGCAAGTCACTGTCGTTCAAGTCCGAGTCAAGTCATAAGTCTTTATAGATTTTATCAAGTCAAGTCAGAAGTCATTAAAATAATGACTCTAGTCTGACTCGAGTCCAAGTCATGTGACTCGAGTCCACACCTCCGTTAAATAAACATGAATAACAGCAGACACACTAATGTACTCATGACTGAGATGTTCAGACAAACCAGAACCATAAACTCTGACTCTGTTATAGTTTCTGTATCAATTAAAGCCATGAAAGAAGTTCTCACATCCCTTATGAAAGTAAAAATAAGAGAGCAGATGTGGTTCTAACTGGGTTAACTGGGTCCTGCATTGATAAGCAAAACTAACTTTCCCCTCAGCCTCTCAGTCTCATGCTGCCTTGGAGGCTGCGTCCTCTTCTACCTGAAGGAAATAAGCTGAATCCAGGGACACATCCTTGTGGATGACCAATCCTGGGGATCATTGCTGTAATAACTGTAAGAAATAAAGATTTATTCCTCACTTAAATGCAGCTTGAACATGAAACGGCATCAACAGACTTCCTTATAGATTACATGTCTGGCTGTTCGTGTTTTAGCGATGAGATATTAGTCGAGCGTTTCTTTGCAACTTTAGAGTTCACACCCCACTGTCTAAAGGGAATTGGTGAATGTTTTGTAACCCAGCACAGAGCAGCAAATACTTTAAACTGTATCAGATGTGTGAAAGCTGACATGCACTCAAGTCTGCTTCTTGTCTTCGAATAACCAAGTTCAGGAACAAAAGGGACTCCCGCTCAATGAAGAGCTCAGTTCAGTGATAGGAGGGTGAGCGGTTCAACCCCAGACCCCAGGCCCGGTGGACCACATGTTGAAGTATCCATGGGTACAGATACTGAACCATCCAAACACACGTTTTGTTCAAAAACACATTATGTTCAAAAAACTTTATTGAACCATTTCCCATAGAAAATCACATGAGTAACTATGGCAAAGGATCCGAACATACAAACTAAAGTGGAAATTAAGATTTTAACATTAATGAATGTTTTCTTCAGAATTTTCTACCTTTTCTTTCTTTTTTCCGCTTGGCAGACCGTATGCTTCCTGGATCACCTCCCACACATTTCAGGCATATTTTAGAGGTGTGGCACAGTGTTGCTACCCTTTCTGTTTAATCTCCTATTTTACTTTCTCCTAATCCCCCAGATCGCCACGCTGTGCAGCACAACTTCAAATTTGCATCATAAAATTATATTTTTCTATCAGCAGCCAAGCAGGAGATCGATAAAGAGGACCAACAGCCTCTTTGTAAAGCATGTGGATCATTTTTTTTAAATTAAAAGTTATCTTGATTTATTGAACTGTTTCATTTTCAAGCATAAAAGGAAACGGTTCGTGCTGTATCGGCTCAGAGATGGGATGGTTTCAGTCGTCTTATGAGAATGCATCAGTGCTTGTGATAAAGTTACATCACAGCTATGAGCTTTTCTCAGAGAAGGAGCGAGACAGAGCCAGAGAGCGTGTTCTGTGTTCTGTATTCAGTGAGGTAGAGTCATAAGCACCATGCTGACCTAAACGCACTTCTGACACGTCAACATGAACTGATAAAGGAGGCCTCGTGGACTCATTTATGATAAGAGATGCAACATAGCTGCAGAAATTATTTGTTTCTGTTAAAAAAGGAAAATAAGCATTTAAATTTTTAAATAAATACTTCGAGTTGAGTTTACTGTCCAAGCTCGAAGCCATAGGAGTTAGAAAATGTACTAAAAGCAATGTGACTGACTTCCTGTTGAGCACAAGCACCTGATTTCATACATGTTTAGGACTTTAAAGTGATCATTCATTTGATATAATGCATAAAAATGGTCTTCTTTGCCATATTTCATTGAAAAAAGTTGTTATTTTTAATATTTAAACAAGCTTTGAACAAATCCATGACATGTTTGAACATTAAACATTAATTCATCAATATTCTTTGGGGTCGCAGCAGTCGACAGGTAAGATTCCTACATAAAGCATCCGATCTCACAGCCAAACAGACTCGTTCTCGTTCACTTTCTCTCTTTGAACTCCCACACACGTTTGTTCACACACTCTCGGGGACAGCACCTGGCTGCAAGTGTTGGGTTTCCTGCAACATGTTGCCTGAGCCTTGAGGGAAATTAAAACTCTTGGAAAAAAACCTTCTCTGTGTTGTGTGATTGCTGCACAGCAATGTGAGTGCAGAAGTTATCCAAAGTGTCATGGAAATGTAAAATGTATGGAGTGTCATCGACTGTTTTGCAATTTTCTGACGTTTTTCATGAAAAGATTTTGTACAAGGAAACCTTGCCTCCGATTTGTCTTCTTCCTCCTCCGCCTCCGAGCTGGAAGAGGCAAAGAGGGAACACAAGGTCACATCTGAGCCTCATGCTGTTCTGGTTGGCCTTTCCCAGACTGCCCTGCTGCTCGTCGTGGTGCTGCTGAGATCAGCCCAGCCTCCTCTCATCTTTTTATCTGCAGTATTTCTGTAGCACTTCGTCATCAAATCATCCTGCAAATGAGATGGACAAGACTGCTAGAGAAAACCCCAAATTTGAAAAAAAAAGAGGAGGATGAAGCAGAAGCGTTAAGAGTGGGAGGAGGGTGCAACCAGAACTGAGATAAACAAACCTGATTCCTGTTTCCATGCGCTGGGAAAACAGTTCATGATATGATCTTTAGTTTGAGCTTTGATCATCGGAAAACTTGTTATCATCCAGTACTTTCAGGATGCTCTAAAAATCACCTAAAGATCTGATTTCACACGAGAAATGAAGTGTATGCAAATAAAACTCAACAAGCATGAAACGAATACCATCTTTTATGTCTTTTACTTGTTTTAATGTAAAAATCCTTTTAAAAATCTAACTTGATCTATTTTTGTGTAACTGAATGGGCTCTCAGATTATTATCATAGATGTTAATTATGAAGAGAAGTAAGCTTTATTTTTATTTATGTTGGACAAACATAGTTATATTAAATGACCTGTATTTGATAGAGCCACTTAACTCCACAAAATAATGAGGATGTTTGAATAAGATTTACAAAAGATCACGCTACATTATTATATAAATGATTGTTTTTTTTTACCTTAAAGCATTTAAACCCAAATTAATGACTCAGAACATTTCTAAATCAAATCTTTCAATATACATTTAAGCTTTATTCTTTTTTGTGATCATATATAACTTTTAACATAACATGCTTTATGAATAAGTTGTTTTCAAGATTTATACTTTTCATTAGAGCAGATCTTCATTAAGGTAAAACTGCTCCATGAAACCCCAAATTATGAGTCTTTACAGCTGCTTTTGTTCCCCTGCTGCTGCAATCGCGCCCTCTTGTGGCTCACTGTGGAGTTGCACCTACCACTGAATAATTAAACATTTGCTTTGATGACGATAATGCATTGAATTTATAATGCCTGTTTTATAAGGCAAACAAAAACATGACCATTTAAAACGAGTTAAAAAAAAAAGGTTAAAAAAAGAAAAATCAGTCAGATCCTGCTGGATGCTTTAAACCTTTAATAGACAGTGCTTGGATAAATCCTTACTAAAAACACAGGTGGTAAAAATCAAAATCAGAACAAATAAGTTACGCCGTAGTAAAAAGCACTTGAGATTCTATTCAGATTTCATCGTTAGTGTGAACCCTATAAGAAAATAGCATAGAAAGTATGCAAACATAGAACTCCGTTCATATATTTCTAATCTTTTAGCTAAATAAATGTTTTCCCTTAACCGACTGGATGAAATGGAAGTGGCTTCGATTTCATCAGCGGTTCTGCTTTTAACACTTTTTGTGACACAATAAAAGTTCCGCCTCAGAAATAAATGAAACAACCCTCAAAACACGTCTGAATAAAAGGAAATTAAATTAACATCAACAGGAGAACAGTCTGCTGAACCTTTTTTCTCTGGTAGAGTTAAACAATCGACTTTACCACACACACACTCACACACACACATACAGTTTGTGCATAGACCCAGGTTTAATTTGGGGAGTAACTGGAGCCAATCCCCCCCTCATCCCTTTAGCGCCCCACCTGCAGTTTGACCTTAAAAGGAAAACAACCCTTTAACCTGTTTGTTGCCGTGGCAACAGAAACTGGCACCAGAAGGCCTTTCAACACGCAGGTACGTAGCAACAGACAGATCAGAAAATGCCACTTGAACGGTCCAACTCAGCAACAAGATGAACGGGGTGAAAGCAGTACGGAAGCCTGGAGGGACCAGGACTTCATACTGGCCTTTCAAAATAAAATCAGTTCCGGTGTCACGCCACCCTTCTCTAGCCCAGGTTTCAAGGCTGTGACAATCTGCACACTTTCATAGCAAAGATCCAGTTTTCTTGTCATTTGAAAATAAATAAGAAATTGTGTTTTTAGCGCAGGAATAAGAATCTGTGGGTAAATTACTCACCGTCACCAACAGGCTTTAGGAGGGTGTAAACAATCTTTTGAACTCGGTTTCTAACATAACAGTCTGGAAAACAGGAGGGCTACAACTCTGAGGTAGGAGCTTTCGTCTAAATCTGGGTTTTAAACGTCTGGTTCAGCTTCTCTAAAAGCCTGCAGAACAAAGTTAGTCTTTTATTGACACATCACAGGAGTGGGGTTTGTTTACACCTGCAAAAGTAACAAATAACAGAAAAGTGTTGTTTTGCGTTTCTGTATCTGTGGAGCGCTACCGTCTGCCTCCCATCAGTTACAGCCAGGGCTGACAGGGAGGCAGCTGCTTAACACATAGGCGGGGGGGGGGGTTGTGACCACTCGGATAAAAATATTAAATAAAAATTTGGGGGTCGACTTGTTCTATTGCACATACGTTTCTGCTTTTTCTTCATTTCTGGCTCCCAAAAAACAAAAAATAAGATAAATCACAGTTCTAACAGGCAGCCAGGAGCAATTCGAGTTTTTTTTCTGCTTAAATTAAATGAAAACAATAAAAATAGGACATAAAAAAGCGCTTAATAAAACTGCAGCCAAAACCAAGTTATAATAATAATAATAATAATATTAATCATCACCAACGATATTCACAGAAAAACAACAATTACCATATGCAATGCAGCTACAAAGTAAAGGTTATATTTACACTTATTCATCAAAAAGAAAATCCACAGTGTAAAGTTGATTGTCATTCTGAAATACAAACCATCTCAACATCCAAGGCATCGACAGTGAGGAACAAACGGAGCCGCTATAAGGTGATGGCGGTGTCAGGTGACTGCGGCCCAGAACCTTTTTCATGCTTGGCAGCTGTTAGTGCAGAGCGGTGTCCACCGGCCCGTCAGGGTCCAGACTTCAGCTGACGCTCGGCGGTTGGGAAGGAGGTTCAGAAGCGTGCCGGTCAATAAAAACAAAACAAAAGGGAGTCCCACACCTGCTGGTGAGAGCAGACTGAAAGTGCTGAGGAAGGCCGCGGCGGAGACGAAACAGGACGACGTCGAGTGGCAGCATGGCTTTGATTTCACTGAGCCCTGTGAGCAGAGGTTACTCATGGAAAGCTTTACAAGCCGAGTATAAAGGATGGGGCCAGGAGTTCGGACACCTTAAACCACGGCGGGGTGTCCACGTGTCCCTGAAGGCAGCACAGTTTTCAGTTCCACAAAAAATCTGCAGAAAACTCACTGAAGGGATCATTTTTAAATGAAAAATTCTTCTTCCTGTTTGGTGCCTCCTAATGCCGCCAGTCCTCATCCTCTCCATCCGACGAGTCGTCGTTGGTGCTGTCGCCGCCCAGCTGCCGCGTCCCACTGTGCTGCCGCGCGGCGAGGATGGCAGCAGCCTCGGCGGCTGCCTTTGCTGCCGCTCGTTCCTCTGCCTCCTTTTGTCTCAGCGCCGCCGCCTTCTTCTCCTGCTCGGCGTGGCTTTTCATGTGGGCGCTGCGGCTCTTCACCTTGTAGAAGATCCTGCAGCATGGAGAGAAAAAAGTTTTTTCTGAGTTTATCTGACAGATTAGAACTCAAAAGGCTCCTAAACAGACTTTTAGCTCCTTTAACACTTTCTAAATCAGATTTGATTCCTCCTGGAAGGCCTCAACCAGCAGGAGCTTTCCACTCTTTGTAAGAAATAATGACGGATATTAAAACCTCTGAGCTGCTTCAGCAGTTAAAGAGCAAAAGCAGCTCTTCTGAATCGGTGAGCGACGTGATTGGCCTTATCTACTCTGTTGCTAGGACACAGCTGGCAATAACAGGCCGGTGTTGCCGGGGGACAAGCTGTTATCCAACCAAAGCACGACAGGATGGTTCATTCCTCCAAGCAGACACCAGGAGACGCTTCCGTTTACTAAATCCTACTCCAAGTGGGACAAACAGCAGAATCTTGTTTTCGGTTTGCTAACCTGCCACATTTCTTGCAGGGGAACTCCCCCTCCTGAGCCACGGAGGTCTTGTTGCCCGTCGAGGGGCTCGTCTTGCGCGTGCTGCCGTCGAAGCGGGGTTTGGAGCTGGGAGGCGGAGGAGGCGGCTGGTGGATGACCCGGGACAATGGCTGCTCCCTCCCGATGTCATCATGGCTCTTCATGATCAGGACCGTCTGCGGAACAAACGAAACACACGTGTGTCATTAAGTCTTGGGGGTAGTGAGTGGGAGGTAACTAGTCTGGAGACAATATACCAGCAGCTTTCATGAACAGTGACAACAGCATGCAATATGATATGAACAACAGTTGTTTTTAATTTGCTGAGTCATTGTTTCGTTTCAGGCATGATGGAGTCAAAACAAATTCTGTTCTTCAAAGTGCCCAGCAGGGGGCAGCACACCTATCCACCAAGTCTGGAGTTTAAAAGGACAAAACCTAAAACCAGAGCTCTAAACCAGGAGCGAGGAGGATTTGGGGACAAAATGTGCTTTTATCCACAGATATTCTGCAGCTGGAGGATGTGCAAAGTTTGCACACATTTGAAAAGCCAAAGAAAAAAAATGTTTTAAAAGCAAATTTCTTAATGTTTCCTATTTAAAACGGTTTAAAAATAAACACTTATGTGCAATAAATGGATGTAAAAGAATAGATGAAAAGGGAAATGTCCTACTGTATGTGACATAACACTGCCCAGGCTCTGAGAAATAACCCGGCTGCATACACTACAAACTTTCTTAAAAACAATCAATAATTCTTAGGAAGAATGGATCATTTCCTGAGTTTTATCACATATTTATGTGGCTGAACTCTGCACCAACAGTACCGTAAAACACAAAAAGCACACGTCGTCTGGCTGCAGAGATGAGGACAATTAACAATAGCTTTTTGTTTTTATTGCTGCTTTATGCTTTTATTTTGGCAGTTGAGTTCCTGTTTGTGAATTTGTTTTGTTTATGCGGACGGGGAGGCAAAGACTTTATGTTGTATTAAGAAAAACACTAAATAGGGTTAAATCTGCATCATGCAGGGTTAATCTCACACTCACATTCTCCGTGGACGGCAGCGTGTGTGTCACCCTGATGGGACAAACATCCTGTTTCCTGTCAGCTGAGCCTTCCCACTTCCTGCTGTCCTCCTCCTGCTGTGGCTCCAGTCTCTGAGAGCCCTGTTAGCCAAAGGGAGCAGTTACAAGAAAAGCTTCTTCTTCTTCTGTCAGAGATCCTGAAGCAGTCATGTGACTGACCTTATGGTCCAGCTCCTCCTCAGCCACCCGGCTCTCCAAAGGCTCCGTCTCGCCGTAAATCAGTGTTCCGCTGCGGCCGATCTTCACGTGTTTTTTGTACGTGTAGTAGAACTCCACGCACTGCGCCACGGTTTTAGTGGTCACCTGTAAGCCAGGAGAAGAGCCGTTATAGTCCTGATTAGTTTTGGACTCTCACGCTGCCAAAACCACTACGCTCTTATCGTTCAAAATGAATTTTGATGAGATGCCAGAGAGCCGATTCCTGCTCCCCCTGCAACTTCTCACTTGCTGCAAATTGACTGCTGAACAGCTTCGGTTTAGAAAAATACTATTAATGTAACTCGAGATCGACAGGCGGATTGGTGCTGCGTCTGCAGAGATGCCGGGGTTGTACCGATCTGTCGCGGTGGAGAAAGATCTGAGCTGGAAGGCAAAGCTCTCAATTTACTGGTTGATCTTCGTTCCTGCCCTCACCTACAGTCACGAGCTTTGGGTAGTTACCGAAGGAACAAGACTGCGGATACAAGTGGCCGAGATTAGTTTCTTGGTGAGAAGATCCGTCATCCAGGAGGGGCCCGGAGTAGACCCGGTGCTTCTCCGCATACAGAGGAACCAGTCCTAAAGAAATAAACTCAATTTCTCCAAACAGAGGCTGTTCAGGGAGCCATCTACAAGGTTAGCTAGTGATTATAACATTTACACACATACACACTTCAAAATGGCCAAAATATGTGGCTTCGCGGTTCCTCAGGTTCTCACCTGCAGAGCCACAAAGTAAAAGTCAGAGGATGTTTCTTAATGTCAAGGCACCTGGCCTAGCAAGGCGATGTCTTGTTAGGTCAGGCGCTTAGCTCAGGAGGACACTGTCCTTCCTTGGTCAAAGAAAACGATTAAATGGAACAGACTTGCATCACGCAACCGCGGCTCCCATGGCGGTCTCGTCATGTCATGTGACATGAGGTAAAGTTATATTTTATACATATAAGTTTCAATATAAATATATAACGAGCCTTAAACTTTTTAAATTGTGTATATATTGGTTAAATTAAATATGTAGGCGAGTTACTACCTGCTAGCCACTGAAGCTGCAACTACTAGCATCTAACCAAGCGTAGCTAACTGCTGTGGATCTAAAAAACATTTTAGATATCAGTCTGATAGCTACAATTAGTTGACTTACATTTAAGCAGGAAATTGGCCCCAAAAGTAGCTGCTGGCTCCTGATGCGCCATCCCTTTAAAAATGCTGCACTGTATTCTGGGATGTTTGATCAAGGCTAGGCTACAAAACAGCTCCAGTGTATCCTAGCTAACGGCTAACAAAGGGAGGACAGACGCCTCCATAGAACATGATCAGAACACGCCTTGGCGGTTCCTGATGATGTATCTCCTAGGCAACCGGGGCGGGACCAAGGCATAAAGTCGACACCCATAGACTCCTGGCTCAGGTTTTCTCTGCTAATGTGCTCAAATATGAATGTAGACGTTTATCTCTTCAGCCATTTTTATCTTCTTACAACCGTTTTACCATCTTAGACTAAATGTGTTATCAACGATCCTTCATTATAAGGATTGAGGTGATTTGAGAAGACCTAAGGAACACCAGCTGGTGTTTCATGGTCCACCACAGAAGTCGTTACAAAATGATGACAAATAGAAATAAAATCTGTCGTCTGAACATGAAATTAAGTGATTTATACAGAATAACTGCCGATATTGTTTCCTATCCTTCTCAATTTGTATCAAAAGTAAAATAAATAAATATGTGATTAGATATATTATTCAAGTATTAATACTATTAGGAGCAAAATACAGTTTTTTTAAATATAAGAAAATAAATTATGTCATTTTAGAATATTAGCTTTAATATCGAGAAACATCTTTTTGTTTTGTTTTTTACAGAAAGTATTCACACCCCTGTCAGTTTTTGACTCTGTATTATTGCAGCTAAAATCAATTAAGTTCATTTTTCCTCATTATTGTACACACATCACCCCATGTTGATCAGAAAACACAGAATTTTACATTTCTGCACAGTTTTTATTTTTTAATAAATTAAGTATCACATGGTCCTAAGTATTCAGACCCTTTGCTCAGTATTTAGTAGAAGCACCCTTTTGAGCTGATACAGCCATGAGCCTTCTTGGTAAAGATGCAACAAGTTTCTAACACCAGGATGTGGGGATCCTCTGCCATTCCTCCTTGCAGATGTTCTCCTGTTCTGTCAGGTTGGATGGTGAACGTTGGTGGACAGCCATCTTCAGGTCTCTCCAGAGATGCTCAATTGGGTTTAAGTCAGGGCGCTGGCTGGGCCATTCAAGAACAGTCACAGAGTTGCTGTGAAACCACACCTTCATTTTAGCGGTGTGCTTAGGGTCATTGTCATGTTGGAAGGTAAACGTTTGGCCCAGTCTGAGGTCCTGAACACTCTGGAGAAGGTTCTGGGTATGCAAATAGTTATCCTGTCCCTGCAGCTGAAACACCCCCACAGCATGATGCTGCCACCGCCATGCTTCACTGTGGGGACTGTATTGGACAAGTGATGAGCAGTGCCTGGTTTTCTCCACACAGACCGCTTAGAATTAAGGACACAAAGTTCTATCTTGGTCTCAGATCAACAAATCTTATTTCTCACCATCTTGGGGTCCTTCAGGTGTCTTGTACCAAACTCCATGCAGGCTTTCATGTGTCTTGCACTGAGGAGAGGCTTCTGATGGGCCACTCTGCCATAACGCCCTGACTGGTGGAGGGCTGCAGTGATGGTTGACTTTCTACAACTTTCTCCCATCTCCTGACTGCATCTCTGGAGTTCAGCCACAGTGATCTCTGGGTTCTTCTTTACCTCTCTCACCAAGACTCTTCTCCCGCAGTAGCTCAGTTTGGCCAGATGGTCTGCTCTAGGAAAGGTTAGGGTCATCCCAAATGTCCTCCATTTAGGCATTATGGAGGCCACTGTGCTCTTAGGAACCTTAAGTGCAGCAGAGATGTTTTTGTAACCTTGGCCAGAACAGATCTGTGCGTTGCCTCAGTTCTGTCCATGAGCTCTTCAGGCAGTTCCTTTGACCTCATTTGCTCTGACCTGCATGGTGAGCTGTAAGGTCTTATATAGACAGATGTGTGACTTTCCTAATCATGTCCAATCAGTATAATCAAACACAGCTGGACTTCAGTGAAGGCTAGGACCATCTCAAGGATGAGCAGAAGAAATGGAAAGCACCTGAGTTAAATATGAGTGTCGCAGCAAAGAGTCTGAATACTTAGGGCCATGTGATATTTCACTTTCTTTTTTAATAAATCTGAAGAAAATTTCTAAAATTCAGGGTTTTTCTGTCAACATGAGGTGCTGTGTGTACATTAGTGAGGAAAACAATTACTTTAACAGATTTTAGCAAATGGCTGCAATATAACTGTCTGAATACTTTCTGTACCACAGTATTTTTATCGTGTTGAATCCTTATTTGTAATATTTAAAGTGACAAAATATGAAAAGTCAAACTGCAGCGTGTGTGTATGCTACATGAAGCACCCAGACCTTCTGACCCTGATTCAAACCATGCTTGGGGGGGGGGGGGGGGGGAAACAACCCGACGACGGGTCTAATGAAACTGGAAACGGAAACACCGTTCCACAGCGACCGTCTTTCCCTTTCCTTCGCCCACTCGCAGAGGGCGAGCGATACCATTGTGGGTTTGTCAGCTCACACAACCTCCGTGGCATTTTCACTCCACCGCATAAGTTGAGTTTCCTTCCCATTCAGCCTGAAAGCACACACACACACACACACACCTCTTTTTGCACCATGAAGAAGTCCTTCTTGTACGCAGCCATGCCTTTGTTGAACAGTCGCCTCTCAGCTGCCGTCCAGCTGTCAGACCCTGTGGGCCAGAGGAGGACAGGTAGACACATGGAGAGAGACAAAATATAAAGACGTCAATCTGTGTGTGGAGACGAGCTCCGTCCCATCCCCCATTTAAAACCACACTTAAAAATCACTAGACGAACAAAGGCTCTCCTGTCTTCAGCTTGGGATTAAGCACATGCTGTAGCCCCCCATCCCCCCCCCCCCCCCCCCCCCACAATCCTCTACAGACCGGCACCACTCTCGCTGCTGCAGCTGCTCTAAGGGATGACTCGGAGCTCATTGTGTCATGCCTGAATTACCTGAGTAGTGGTAGTTGGACAGGTGATTAGACTTGGGGAAGATGGGGTCCCTCAGCATCAGCAGGGACAGAGCAGCCTGCAGGAGAAATGAACACATAACCAACACGCTTTCACACTCGGGCCCAAACAATGAACCGGCTGCAGGCAGGAAATGAGAAATGAATCATCTTCATCTCTCCTGAAAAATAAGACCGCTTCAGCGTCTTCGTAAGACACAACTCTCCTCTCCATCTGACGCTGCACGGATGTAGGAAGCCTGCTGCAGAGAGTGGGTGCTGACAGCCCCCGTCCCACCCCCTCATTGTTTCCTAGACAACGCAGGCCCGGCGCTGGTCGCCAGAGATAGAAGTCTCCATCAGCGGAAAAGTGAAGCACAGCATCGGACGTCTGCTCACACATCATCAGGATTTAGAGTCTCGGTGATCTGCAGCTGATTCAGGACCAGTCAGAAGGGAACCCCGCGATGTCCACTCACTTTCCAACGACCTCCCTGTCGACAGCACACGGAGCACCAAGCTGCTTGTTTTTATTGACTCCTGTTGAGTTTTTCTTTGCAGCTGTCTTAAGTTAAGCTCTGATGTCATCGGCATTTGAGCCGTGCTGCAACAGATACGCAGCACAGGATATTTTGAGCCGTGCTGCAACAGATACGCAGCACAGGATATTTTATTGCTGCAACCCGGGTGGAGCGCTGATCTGTCCAGTCAGATCGGTGGAGCATGAATCACTCCCAAACGCCTGAGAGGATATTAACATTGAGGGCTTCTTCTGATCTGCAGATTTACAGCTTGGTTGCCTTTTTATTTAACCGTTAAGCTGCTTTTGAGTGAAGCCTGGAAACGTTAGATGTGGAAACATTCTCAGTTTCTGAGCACAAACAACGAAACGCTAATATTTCAGAGGAAATTCATGAAAAGTGGAACCAACTGGCTTATTGTTGCAACTCCTGCAAACAGCAGCATTGTTCTGCCCGAGGCTAAACAACCAACCAGTGTTATTATCACATTCATCTCAGTCCGCCACAGAGCTTCAGTACGAAGCCAAAGTGAAAATGTGTAAATCAGTCATTTCCGTTTAATAATTGTCCAGATACACCGGAGACGACTGATGCCTGCATGTCCGCACGCACGCGGGGGGATTAAAAGGGGGTACATAAACGTGTAAGAAACGTTTGGTGAGCAAATGTGCAGAATCACCAAATCTCACATTTATGGAGATGTACAGCGCTCAACATAAAAGAGTATTGGTTCCAAAAACAGTGATCTTTGTCTCATCCCTCCAGAGTCCCCGTAGTCTTAAGCTCTTTCATCATGGGTAAATTCTAGGCGTGCTTTTGTTGTGCATGGGCTTTAGGAGAGGCTTCCTTCGTGTACGATACCCATGCATGCTACTCCTCTGCAGCCGTATGGTGTCACGGGAAACGGTCACTCCAGTTTGGTTTCTACTGCTTTAGCGAATTTTCTTCAACCCTTCTCATCAGAAGACGCAAGGTAAAGAAAAACCTCATCTGTGTTTTAAAAAGAACCAAAAATGGAAGTAGAAGAAGCTCCTGACGAGATGTTCACTTCTGCGAAGGGCCTGGACGTCTCTGTGAGATGGTTTCTTAAACGTTTGGATCACTTTTGCTTCAGTATTCTGACAGATATGTTAAGTTTTGCTGATCTTCTTGTAGCCCTCGCCTTCTTTGTGTAAAGAAATAGTTTCCGTTCTCAGATTTTGTGACATTCCTCTTCCATGTGGAGCCGTCGCTGACGGCATGAACAGGGAAGGACTTTTCTTTATTAAGGAATGCTCTTTATAGTCACCTGCCTGCTGGACACCTCTTAAATGAATCATTAGACTCACCTGTGGTTGAATTCCTGTTATTATGAATTTTGTAGTCTCACGTATGGCTTTTCTACTGAGACTATAATACTCATTTTGAACGGATTTGTTAGGAAAATCGCTTTTGTGTGTGTGTGTGCAAATGAACAAATGTTTGCAATCAACAGTAAATTTGTAGTTCGGTATCTCATAGAAAATGTTGATTCTGACAGGAAACTAAAGGTTTTCTGACAAATGTCGTGGGGTGCACTCGTTTATGCTGAGCGCCGTAATTTTAACTATGACCTACAAATTTCAATGCAATATTATTTTGAGTAAATAATAAAACATTTCTGATTGGCAGTCTGCAAAAAGTGTAAGGATGTTTGTTTAACTGCATGTTATCTTTTAATTTTGCTCCAGAAAGCATGAAAGTCTAATAAAGCTGCGCCTCTGTTTTTAACCCGTGTTGGTCCGAGCTGCCGAGTGCTCCAGCACCAAGAATGAATGGCTTTTTCTCAACACCAAACATCCTGAAATGGCCTTTTTTTGTTCTACGTGTGCACAAGGGAAAGCTTAGCAACCGTCTTGTTTAATTTGGCTCGAGAACACAGATGAGCTCCACACATGAAGACAGGGTTGGACAAAAATATGGAGAAAAAAACTACAGATTCACCCGAAAACCTAAATCAGACAATACTCAGCACAGCTGGCTTCATCTGCAACTCAAGCATCTGATTTTCAAACTCATTATTGCTAAGAAACAATGAAATAAAAAAATGTGAATCATCCTGATCTGTGAACGCATCATCAGAGTAAATGAAAGTGATTTTTATGAGTGAAAGCATGCGTCGTGTGTGTTGCAGCAGGAAAACACAACTACTCTTCCCTGTTATTCAAAGGAATAATACAGAAAAAATACAGATTGTTCCGCTGCACTCACCACGATGTCCCCTTTGCACTCGTGCAGACAATGGCAGGCCAACTCCTGGTTGGTGCCTCCTCCACACAAAACACTGGAGCAGGCCAGGTGCATGAGGTCTTCCACTGAAAGGGGACCAGGGTTGGAAAATTAGAATAAAATCTACTCATGCTGTCCATTTATTTTTTTGTTTTGTTTTCAGGTTACCTTTTTTGTGAAAGTCTGGTTTTAACTCTTGCTCATTCAGAGGAGCGAAAACCAGCTCAGCGGGATGATGATCCAACTGGACCGCAGACCGCTGCCTCAGCTCCGGCACCTCTGCCTGGTACCGCGACCCAATATTTATCCGTCTGTATGGGAAGAGATCTGCATCAGTGTCTACACAGATTGCCCTTCACACTAAAAACCACCGTTCTTTTTTGAAGTATGTTTTTTTTTTTGCATAAATCGACATATTTAATGGTGAATAAGTTTGTAATTTCAACAAGATGTCGTCTCTCCATCTCATCACACAAAGCAAGAGGAACGGTGTAAAGGGTGTGACTTGGTGCCATGTAAATAAACTGAATTGAATTAAATAGACAGACCAAAGCAGCCTTTCAGGGGAAAAATCCACTTTTGCTAAATGTCTGCAAAGAATAAAGTATCAGACTGAAAGAGTTTCTGAGGCACGGCTGCTCCTGTTTCTGTCCCAACAAGTCCGCTGGAGTCGTCGTAGCTGTTCTGTCCCCTCTTGAGTGTTTCCTGTTGGTTAAAACGGGTTCTACACGTGCCGAGTTCCCGCCTGCACCACCACGCTCTGGTGTCAAGGAAAAGTGCCCCGACTTTGGTTTAAGGAAAACGAAGCTGCGATGTCTTCAGGGTTATTTCTTATGTTGATACAGGATTGCATCATTCTTTCATAACGGCCACTCAGGTTTCCTTCACACCGCCCTGCGTGCTCTAGACGTCTCCCTGTAACAACACACCTTATTCAGAGGAGTGAATTGCTCCATCGGCTTGTCGTCGGGTTCTGCAAAGGCCTAAAAAATGACTCGTGAGTTTAAATCAGGGGACTCGGAGCGGGAAAACATCTGAAACACGCAGGACAGCGGGCCTCGGGGAGCAGCGTTAGGGAGAACTGGTCTATACAGGCAGGAGCTGAAAACGTCAGAACTGCAACCATCAACCCAAACGTAAGATAAGGCCGTTTGAAAAAAGAAGGAAAAGTGTTTTGGTGAAATCGTTTTAGGAATTTCTTTTATGGTGTCCAAGCATCAGCTCACGCCACAGATTTTCATTTCTACCAGCTACTGCAGAGCCGGAGCTTCAGAGTTCTCCAAAAATGAAACTTTGATTACAGCCAGCAGCAACTCAGGAGAACCGTTTCTGACAGGTGAGAGTCCGCTTGTTAACCGGAGAACCCCTTTTTCTGATTGGATAAAAAAGAATGAAAAAATAACTTTTACTCGTCTAGCTGTGCGTGACAGGAACAGGAAAGATAAAGCAGACTCCAGTGGCGAGGTGGCCGCGCGTACGGTCAAACCAAATACTCAGGTTTTGTACTTCAAATGTGTTCCAATTCAAGACGACTGATTCAACCCCGACTGGAGGTCGTAGCTCAAAGGAAAACACTCACGGCTCAATGCTGACTGGAGTTGTCTCGTTCATAGCAGATAAAACTGGCGGCGTGATGTCACAGCTGTCTGGAAAAACATGAAACAATGAAAGTTACAACCGGCGGTGTGAAGACGTTCCGTTACTTACCCATCATGCATCCTGATTCACCCCTAAACTGGTCTTATGTTCTGATGTAAAGACATTTGGGATTAGCAGAAGGTCCTGTCTGTACTCACTAGAGCGTAACAAACTGCGTGTGGCTGATTTGGGCGTTGCAGGCGGCGGCAGGCCAGGGCCGCCGGCGGCAGCAGACGACAGGAAGGTAGAGAAGTAAAGGCCGGAGCCCTCTCGCACGGGGCTGAGGATTGGCGGCGGTGTGTAGGGGGGCACCATGACGGCGTTGTCAGCGAGGCGAACAGGAGAGCGCAGGTGGCTCTGGTAAGGTGTGATGCTGGAATAAACAGGCGGGGCGATGAATACACTGGGTTTGGGCGGAGGGATGAAGAGCGGCTCTGGTCGGGGGCGTCGTTTGGACTTCTTGCCGTCGTCGTCCCTCTCGCCCTCTGCGCTGTCATTCTGGAAGGCAAAAGTAATGATTTGGTCGTGAGAATATCTCGTGGTGAAATAATATTTTACATCATTAATCTTACTAAAAGACACTGGATAAAAGGAAAAGGGACCCCCCCACCCCCCACCCCCCTTCCGTGTGGGACACAATGTCCACAATCTGCTAATCTGTCTGATCTGGGACAGGGCAACCAGTTCACCAAATCCTCCACATCAGTGGATACGGGCACAGCAGAAGATCGGAGGGGGGAATCAAGCAAATCAAGGATTCATAACTGGAACGTGTAAAAACCCAACTGATCAGCTCCCAGATTTCTGCAGAACTTCGTAAACGGTTCCGTAAACAAACAGAAACATTGATTTACTTTAACAAAGACACAAGCAACAAACCGGAGAGCCCACCTGCTCCAAACTGTCTGAGGAGAAGTTCCTGAGCGAGCCTGTCTGCGGTTGACGATCACCGAGGGCTTGTGGTCGGCGAGGCCGAGGTCCGGGGCGTTGTGTGGCCGGCGGGGCCAGGTCGAGCCCAGCGCAGCGTCGTCTCGGACGGGAGACGAGGGCTCTTGTCGTCGGACTGGAACCGACACGGGGATGACCAGCGGGAGGAAGCTGTCGTCTCGAGGCTGCTTCATGGCGTCTGGCTCGGTGGGACTCCACGGCCGGCGGGGGCTCCTGAACAGCAAACCCAAAGGTTGTGACTCTACTTCTAACCCAGCGTTTGCATACAGAAGACACACAACCAGCTCAGAACCTGATCGGCACAGTAAGAGTTCTGGTGACACATTTTTGAATCCTCACACAAAGAAAATCACTCGACATGAATCACACAGCAGGAGGAATGTCACCCCCAACAACAACGTAATTGCAGCTTGGAGCTCCAGCGGAGCACAAAACCATACATTTACTTAGACATACATTTACCGTGATAGCTGTTATTCAGCTTAAGCAGGCCGCCTAACTGTAATGAGTGGAGTAAATTTGCATTCAAACACAAAAACAGATAAAATGTCTCATTAGGTAATTACACATTCACAGGGCAGCATCTTAGCCTTCGTGGACGTTCTTCCAAACAGAATGCATGGTTGCACCATCATTTTTAAATGACAGAGAGCTGAAACTTTACGCAGACATCAAATGAAACCGCCTCCTCCTTTTTGCATTCTTCACATTTTCTTTTTCAAAACCACATCGAGCGAGCATCAGCGGCTTGTGCTCTTAAGAACCACTGTCGGCTCCGGACTGGAGCAGCTTCAAAACAATCGAAACCGCCACATTACCAGACACTTTAAGGCAGATGCTCGACGCCCCTCTGCACGCTGCATCATCACGGGCAGAGAGGCGTGAAGCATGGTGGCTACACTGGCTTTTTATTGTTAGTGGAAAACTCCAGCCTTTACACCAGAGCTGTGGAGAGAGATTCTGCTGAGCACTGCAGGCAGGCAGCTCTAAACTCTCTCTCTCTCTCTCTCTCTCTCTCTCTCTCTCTCTCTCTCTCTCTCTCTCTCTCTCTCTCTCTCTCTCTCTCTCTCTCTCTCTCTCTCTCTCTCTCTCTTCTCTCTCTCTCTCTCTCTCTCTCTCTCTCTCTCTCTCTCTCTCTCTCTCTCTCGTCTCTCTCTCTCTCTCTCTCTCTCTCTCTCTCTCTCTCTCTCTCTCTCTCTCTCTCTCTCTCTCTCTCTCTCTCTCTCTCTCTCTCCTCTCTCTCTCTCTCTCTCTCTCTCTCTCTCTCTCTCTCTCTCTCTCTCTCTCTCTCTCTCTCTCTCTCTCTCTCTCTCTCTCTCTCTCTCTCTCTCTCTCTCTCTCTCACACTCACTCACTCACTCAGGGAGGTATGCAAGCTTGTATGATCTGCTACCCATGAGGCATGGCATGCTGCTCTACAAACACAGTGACTAACCGCTGTTTGGCACCAGGACCTGTTGCACAACCCCGTGCAGCAACACATAAAAACAGATCGACTTCACGCAGCCTGGTTAAAGATGAAGAGCTATAAATGTGAGGAGCAGATTCTCCTCACCAGTGCTGATTACGCTCTCCTTCTCTTCCAGCAACACGCTAATCACAAACAACACGAGCTTTGGCACACTCTCTCTGGCAGTCAAGCAGGCCGTTTGTTCACTTTACACTCCTGTTCTGGGAGTTGAAGTCCCACAGCAATTACACCCCAGGATAACGCAAGGAAATAGATTCCTTAACCACCCCCAAAACTGTTGCAGGAATTTTTGTGCAATTAGAGTCTTCGTGTGAGTAGGCGCTGCGAGAAGCTGAAATCCACTCTGCAGCACTGGGACTAAGAACATCCAGTTCTTTTGTTTACAAGCTTTTCTGTTCCTGATGGTGAACAGAAAGCAGCTGAGAGTAAAATAATGAGCAAAAGCTACAATACTTTGGGTTTAAGAGCTTGCCTTTACCTTGTCGTGAGCCGGAGACTTCCTTCTGAGCCTCCTGAGCGAGCATCTCCAGGTTGACCTCCTGGGACACGCGGCGTTTCCTGTGCGTGCTTTGGATCACACCCGTAGGTGCCGCCTGGACGTCATGGGCCCCGTTTTCTGACCCGAGCATCCCTGTCTCAGTCTGATCCGAGGTCACTTGGAGAAAAGGGTTCTCAGAGGGTGCGCCACCTTCCTTGGAAAGCCGTCTGGATCTGCGAAGCTGAGTTTGGGACAGGAGCTGCGTTTGAGGGCTGCGATGCAGCCTCGGACTGCATTGGAGCCTGGAACGGATCGGACGGCTGCTGGGGTTCTGGTGTGATGTCCTGGATGATGGGTTCCTGAATCTTTGGGGGAGCTGGTGCAGAGGACTCCTGGGAGAGCACGACCACAGCCTGTGGATGGGGTGTGCATTTTGTCCACCAGAGTAAAAGTTAAGCACACGGGGGTTTTGTTGTTGCAACTGCTGATGCTGCATTTGCGCTGAATCTGAAGCTGTTGGTGCATCTTTTGTTGCTGTAGGTCCACGTGTTGGTGCTGAATGATCGAATGGTGCTGGAGCTGCTGCTGGATGACGGGGTGTTGTTGTTGGCGCATCTGCTCTGGATTCTGTAGCGGCTGCAGGTGATGCGAGGGTTTAGCATTAGGCCCAGGGTAGTTAGGCGGGTTGGGCAGTGTGGTCCTGTTCCCTTGGAAGTTCTGGTAGTAAGCTGGTAGGTGCTGTTTGGGCTGACCAAAGGCAGCTGGAAGGACTGTAGGACTGAGCTCCCCCCTGGGTGGGATGCACTCTGCTGCTGAGCATTCAGAACTCCAGGTTTCAGAGTCTCCTGAAAGACTGAGTCTGCTGCTGCTGCTCCCAGTCCAGCGCTGGAGTGTTGGCTGCCTCCCTGTTGGTTGGCTGTTGGTGGTGGCTGTAAGCCCGACGTCTCGTGTATTGACTTCAAAAATGTTCTGAGCTCGTGGTAGCTTGCAAATGGCGGGCCCCAGTTAGGTATGGTCCACGAGGCAGCTCTCTGCTGCTGGGACAGCGACGGCTGCTGCTGACTGGGCTCCGGGTGAGCCACTTCATGGGCACAGTCTGCTGATAGTGACCCCTGTTCTGGTCCCCCTTATCTGGGCTGAAGATCACAGAGTTGAGGTACATGTGTGGAGCCTCTGGATTGGAGGTCACCGTGCTTGCTGCCTCACTTTGTCCAGGATCAGAGGCGGTTCCACTCGGGACGTAATAAGTCCCATCTGGGTGTTGAGAAGCTTCCTTCATTGAGTCTCCACTATGATCATTAAAAAATGTGATCCGTTTGCCTGTTCTTTTGTTGCTCACTTTCTGCTGGGCTGGTACACTCATGACGGGCATGAATACGCCGAGTCTTTATCAATCGGAGTACTTTACTGAACTCAATCAACATAAATATATCCGCTAAACGAAGCTGTATGACTTGGCTGACACCCGTGCACGCAGGATCCAGCTCAACTGAGATTATCCTCAACTCCCACTGAAGTTCTTTGTGACCTAGTCGGAGGTCTCCAGCCAGGGCGCATCAGATCTGAAGAAGTCCTCATTCACGAGCAACACCCTGCAAAGAGAGAAAGAGACAGGGGTCAAGGGTTGGGCAATCAGACCTGAGGGGTCCCTAAAGAGAAGGGCTTCATTAGCATCGGCCGTGCAAAAACCTGCTGTTTGCTTTGTCAACAATAGACCTCCGCTGAAAAGGTATCGGCTGTGAACAATGCAGGGGAGGGACCAGTCTATTTGCTGGCTCACATGACAGATAGATCCCAACCATACAGGAAAATAAGTACAGTATATGACCTGAACTTAGTTTATTAGTGGAAACTCACCAAGGGCTGAATCAATACTTACTGGAAATGTCAATACAATGAGAAACAAACACACACTTACAAACAGCTCCTTACTAACTGGCCTGATTACAACTCTAACACCCTTCACGTCTCACACAACCTGTGAGAGAAAGTATCAGGTGTTTTTTTCCCCGCCAAACAGCCCACACAGACGCAGTAAACCAAACATGAGACAAACCTATTTTTTTCTTTTCACTACCTTGTGACTCATCAGAGGCAAAAAAAAAAGAGGGACCATTGCCCTTTGAACTATGGCTGGCATCTCAAAAAAGGAAGGGCAACTGAAAGTGAGCAAACATGAGTCATGGTGCAGCGATCTGTGCAAAGAGACTGCAAGTGAAAAAAGTCAAAATGGCCTCACAGGACTTACAGAGGATCTTGAAAATTACCGTGGCAACCCAGGCTGATAGGGTGTTATATAACAGCCAGGTTTTCAAGCAGATTTTGGCACCATGCAGACGGTCAAATTTCAATTATTCCATCTGTGAAAACCTTCAGAGCAGCAATCTAAAGACAAAAGCCATAAAGATTGTTTGTCTCACTTGCAAAGAAACAATCTGACAGGATGGTTACATAAATGAACACTAAATGACCCACTCATAACAGCATAGGAAGCACACGATGATTGTCACCCTTTACTTTGGTGGCCTGGTGAAACCCTGGCTTCTTAAAATAGACACGTGCAGCTGTTCAGATCCTGCACTGGCTCAGGGGCACTACTGACAGAGAAAAGCAATGACCAACAAACGCAGCAGCACCCATGTGATGGTCCCCTCCAGCTCACAGGCATGTGGGGATGAAGAGGTGCACAGTTCTGCAGATTACAGAGCAGTGCGAGCACGCGCGTGCACACACAAACACACATCTCTTGAGGTGAAGGATCATCATGACGCATCACAAGTGCAACCTTACACAATCATAGGGTTTAGCCCATAACACGGTCAATTGGCTTAAAATAAATGTCAAGCACCATTAGCCGGGCTAAATCCATCTCCATCTTCTAATTTAAAACATCCCATGCTCTCTTCAGGACTCTTCCTGGCCAACCCAAGCCCTCCGCGGACATCACTTTCTTTCTGAGGCCAGCAGCCAGCTCAGCGCTATTTACGAGAAGCCCTTTGTTGCAGAAAGGAGATTATCCCAACCAGCAGGGCTGTCTGGAGCGAGCCACTGCTCGGCTGTCAGAAGGTAAACACGTCCCGTCCAGAGCTAGCGACGAGCCCGAATAATGAGGTAAACAAAAGTTGGTGTCCACACCGATACTCACGGTGTTTAGGAAGAAAGCGGCTGCTGACGGCGGCGCACTGGCAGCTCTGCGCGGCCAGCAGCCCCGCGATCATAACCGCACACATCCCCGAGGTTGACTCATGCTTCGCTGCTGACCTAACGCATTTGTTGTTGTCTTCTTCTGCTGCTGCTTCAGCACCCCTCCAAGAGAGGAGAAACACGGGCTCGCAAGGTAATCACAATCCAACTAAGAAGAGGCAGGAAAACAGGCACGCTAATGTGCACAGACAGCGCAAACCCGCTGTTTGTTGCACATTTCTGCACTAAGATTGCACTAAAACACTGGTAACGCGGCCTGCTGCTGTACATCGAGTCTCGGTTTCGATCTGCCTGTCTTGTGATTCCCACCTCCCTTCTGCTGCTCGGCCGCCGTCAGGTCTCAAACCCCGCCCACTTCCTCCCATACCCAATTTAGGAGCTTCCTCTAACAAGCCACGCGCCGTGGCCGTAACAGATCCGTCAGTCCAAGCGGGAAATTCCGACACACAAGGGGCGGACTCACCCGGCTTCACTCACACTCGGTTTCCTTTAAAAAATACAAGTTCTGGGAATATTTGGAATGTTGCCATGAAAAAAAACACGACGCAATGTAGAGTGATTTCACTTTTTCCAGATAATTCTAGGAAACAGAGACATACTTAAACCATTAGACACAAAAATCAAAAAGTCTTGGGAGATTTCTGTCCTATTCATAGATTTAAAATACCAACAAAACAACTATACATGGACATAGTATTTCTATTGGGGGTGGGGTGGGGGGGGGGGATGTCCCCCCACCTTATCCAAAGTCAATTTTGTCCCCTGTACTTTTTACCATCCAAAAACAATATTATGCTATATTAAACAGACACTGGTTGAGCACTAGCACCAAGCAGAAAACAACCACTTGTGTTGAAGCCTGTTTCCCATTGGAACCATCCACAACCTCATCCATTGGCTCTGCTGATACTTGCCAACATGTGATTGGCCGTTCCTGCCACCTGTGTACTTGACAGTCCTGCATTCCTGACATTAAATAAAGAGCCTCTAGGCTGTAGTTTTATACATATTTTTTGTATATTTACCACGTCCTCATGCCGGTTGACCCCCCCCCCCCCCCATCTAAAGTCAAAACTATGTCCATGCAACTATACATATATATTGAATGAATACCTTAGATAATAAATTAAAATATATTATTGCCCCCAGTCTGTGAACTCAGACAGCTCATAGGAATCAGAAACCAGATTGCATCATTACCTTATCTCACCATATCCATATTTTGCTTGGCTCAAGAAATTCTCAGATGGGGACCAATAATCAGCCACATTTTTGCACGGATAAAGCCACAGTCAAACAAGTGATGTGCATGTTAAAACCTCACCGTATTCTCTATCAAGAGTAAAAATGGAAAAAGAAAAACTTGAGTCTCATGCCATGTCTTGGTTTTATTACTAGGCCTGAAGCATTATTAAGGTTTATGACTTCAAGTGAAGAGGTCTGAAAAACTCTTCATTAGTGGTTCATTAGTGATATGTGAGTTATTGACTGTGCAGAATGCATCTCCTATAATCTAATCAAACATTTACTATAATTTCAAACTATCACCAAAAACTTCTGACAAATGGAAAACCTTGCTCCTTACCAGGTTAAATGCATGCATGTTGAAGACGGTCCTGAAAAATGTCCATAATCAAAAAATGTATTTTCAAAAATAAGAGTCTTACACATGTCAAAATAAGGTTAATTATCAATTTAAACATGCTAATTATAGGACTCCTACATGAGCAATGACTGGATAGGATTAAATACCGGCTTTTATTTTGAAGTAGGCTACCCAGCAGGATTGCTTTTATGTATCAGTGGTTTTATTGGTTTTAACCAATGTATGTACAGTCTATGGTTTTAACAATCGGACGTTTAGACAAAATTGCACACATCCCCCGTCACCGGGCCACGTTCTATTCAATATAAATAAACTCTCTGTATTTTAAAAACATGCAGGGAATAATTCAAATTCAGATTTCAGCTGATTGCAACTCAGCATTAACGGCAGCGAGGGTTGTCGGCGAACGGAGGGGCTTCAGATCCGTTACCACCTATATTAATGTCGATGGTTACTACCAACTAGCATTAGCTGACACACACACACGCGCGCGCGCGCGCGCGCACGCAAACACACAGCCGTGCAAGGACGCTACTTACGTTAAATAGTAGCTTCCCTCAAGCTGTTTTCACGATGCATTGCTGCAGCTAAAGATGACGGTTTGCTTCTGACACAGCAGCGACTTGCTGTCTTTATAAACCGCTCCATTTTTTTCAGATTCCTCCACAAGGCGTCACCAGTTTTACTCACTTTAGCCACTAGCTAGCACTAACACAAGCACGTTAAACGCGTTTACAACCTTTGATGGTAACGTGGGTAATAGCAACAAAACTGTGTTTAATTAACGGCTTCGCATGCTGCAGAGCTGATAACGAATAATAAAATATGTCCCAGAGGGTGCATACCGTTTCTGTCTGCAAATTGGTTCCCTTAACCGCTCAGCGCTGGCACCCGCAACTCTTTGACTAGAAAAGATAACACCCTGCCGCCGGATTGTGTCGGTTTCCAGGCCGAATCAAAATGTTTTTTTTTTTCAATTATTAGCAAATAATTAATATGGAAAATTCGTGAAATTAACCAAATGTAGAGTATAGTGTTAATAAAAGTTAATCATATACACTTAAACCAAACGTTCTAAAAGAATTTTGACAATACCGGAAGCTGCTGGCAGGGAAATATCTTGTTTTGCTGGTCTCAATACGCTTCACTTTCTGTTAGCATACAAAACACACACCAAAACAGCGCTTTAAACATCGGTTTGGGAATAGTTTAACGCTTTGTTGTAACGCTATCTCCACTTTTATCTTAATTTGTTAAGTTCGTTATTCGTTGTAGACCCCAAACACCACTCGAAGTGCCTACGTTACTTCACAGACATGCATATACAAAGAGTCGTTCTCAACTCACGACCAGGTGAGTGACCTATTTTTTTTCCCGCACCACAAATGTGTAATAACTGTGTTCTAAAATGTTTATTCCATGTGTTCTTGGCGTTTTCTGAAACATTTTGCTCATACAGGTAAAAACGGCGAACCAACTCCTGAACATTTCCGCCTGGAAGAGACAAGTTTGGTGTCTGACTTGAATGATGGGGAAGTTATTGTTCGGACGCTTTACCTCTCAGTCGACCCTTACATGGTATCAGCCTTTACCCATGGTCTCCAGCTGTAACTATGTTATCCCATTGTAGTTGTTTAACCTATAATTTGCATTTTGGTTAAAAAAAATTTAAACTCTTTGAATTATAATTAGCTACTTAAAAGGACACCATCACTACAAGACAGTGAACGCATCACAGGAAATGCTCTCACATCTCCATCTCTCCCTCTGATCATTGCTTTTAGAGATGCAGACTGAATGAAGACAGCGGCTCTGACTACCTAGCTCCATGGCAGCTGTCTGAATGTTTGGACGGAGGAGGCATTGGCGTGGTGGAAACCAGCCACTGCAGCACCTGCAGTGAGGGAGATGTGGTCACTTCATTCAACTGGCCTTGGCAAACCCATGCAATAATGAAAGGAAGTGGCTTGCAGAAGGTATGGCATATAGCTGAGTGTCAGACTGTTATGTCTGACTGTTAAACATCTGTCTTTCATTGCAGGTTGACCTACAGTTGACTGATGGGCATTTGTCCTACTTTCTGGGTGCTGTTGGTATGCCAGGTCTCACTGCACTGTTGGGAGTCAGGGAGAAGGGGCATGTGACCAAAGGAGCCAATCAGACGATGGTAGTAAGTGGTGCAGCTGGTGCATGCGGCTCCTTAGCAGGACAGGTAAATACAGCAAGGGACGGATGGTCAAAAGAAGAATTTTGTAAGAGTGAAGAAACAATCAAACCATCTGATATTTTTGCTTTGTCTAGATTGGCAGACTAGATGGCTGTGTAAGGGTGGTCGGGATCTGCGGTTCCGACGAGAAGTGCAAAGTTTTAGTTGAAGACCTGAGCTTCAGTGCAGCCATCAACTATCGCAAAGAAGATGTCTCAGCACAGCTGAAGAAGAGCTGTCCTGATGGCATAGATGTTTACTTTGACAATGTGGGAGGTGCAATAAGTGACACTGTTCTGGCACAGGTTTGCATCAGTGTCATCTTTAACTGGAGAGAGCTTTGCTAGATGAATATTTTGTACCTGTGGTTTTATTTTTTGCAAGATTCTACATTCACTCCAATCACTTTTAACCTCCAGATGAACAAAGGCAGCCATGTTATCCTATGTGGGCAGATCTCACAGTACAACAAGGATGTACCATACCCTCCGCCCCTCAGTGAGAAGACACAAGAAATCCTGCAGAGTCAGAACATCACTCGGGAGAGATTTCTGGTGCTTGACTACATGAATAAGTCAGAAGCTGCTCTCTTTGAGCTCAGTCAGATGATCAAATCATCTCAGATCAAGGTACTGATGAAATGCACCTGATGTCTGAGTAGTTCCAAAAAACTAGCCTCTCCTTCAGCTTACTGGAAATCTGCTTCTTGTCTGCAGGTGCTAGAAACTGTGGTGAATGGGATAGAAAACATGGGAGGTAGGTACTATGTAAAAATATTTTTTCTGACTTCTTTACCCTCAATATTTTTATCATTTTGTTTTTATTCTTTACAGTTGCATTTTGCTCTATGATGAAAGGCAGCAACATTGGCAAGCAAATCGTCAAAATTTCAGAATGAAGAAAATCAGTCGCTTTCCACAAGAGCTGCACCTGCTAATTGGCTAAATTATCCCCCAAGTGTCCTTTTCTGCTGCTGTTATAATGAACTCTTGTAATAATTTGATTAACTGAAGTCAAGATGTTAGGAAGTGAACTAGAAATGGAAAGCAGCAATGAGCAAGGTAAAGCCAGATGCATGCAGGTTTTAGTTTAAAATGTGTTTTGGCAGCAAAGCTGGTTGGTCATTTTTAGATTTAAGAGACAACATTAATGAATTAATAGTTTTTGTAGAGATTTAAGGTGAATTACAGTGGATATGGAAAGCATTCAGACTCCCATCAATTTTTCACTCACTTTATATTGCAGCCATTTGCTAAAAATCAATTAAATTTTCCCTCATTAATGTACACACCGAATTTTAGAAATGTACACAGATTTATTAAAGACAAACTGAAGTATCACATGGTCTTAAGTATTCAGACCCTTTGCTCAGTATTTAGTAGAAGCACCCTTTTGAGCTGATACAGCCAGGAGTCTTCTTAGTAAAGATGCAACAAGTTTCTAACACCTGGATGTGGGGATCCTCTGCCATTCCTCCTGTTCTGTCAGGTTGGATGGTGAACGTTGGTGGACAGCCATCTTTAGATCTCTCTAGAGATGCTCAATTGGGTTTAAGTCAGGGTGCTGGCTGGGCCATTCAAAAACAGTCAGTTGCTGTGAAACTACTCCTTCATTTTAGCGGTGTGCTTAGGGTCATTGTCATGTTGGAAGGTAAACGTTTGGCCCAGCCTGAGGTCCTGAGCACCCTGGAGAAGGTTCTGGGTATGCAAATAGTTATCCTGTAGCTGAAAAACTCCCCCACAGCATGATGCTGCCACCGCCATGCTTCACTGTGGGGACTGTATTGGACAAGTGATGAGCAGTGCCTGGTTTTCTCCACACAGACCGCTTAGAATTAAGGCCACAAAGTTCTATCTTGGTCTCATCAGACTAGAGAATCTTATTTCTCACCATCTTGGGGTCCTTCAGGTGTCTTGTACCAAACTCCATGCAGGCTTTCATGTGTCTTGCACTGAGGAGAGGCTTCTGATGGGCCACCCTGCCATAACGCCCTGACTGGTGGAGGGCTGCAGTGATGGTTGACTTTCTACAACTTTCTCCCATCTCCTGACTGCATCTCTGGAGTTCAGCCACAGTGATCTCTGGGTTCTTCTTTACCTCTCTCACTGAGGCTCTTCTCCCCCAGTAGCTCAGTTTGGCTGGATGGCCTGCTCCAGGAAAGGTTAGGGTCATCCCAAACGTCTTCCACATATGGATTATGGAGGCCACTGTGCTCTTAGGAACCTTAAGTGCAGCAGAGATGTTTTTGTAACCTTGGCCAGAACAGATCTGTGCGTTGCCTCAGTTCTGTCTCTGAGCTCTTCAGGCAGTTCCTTCGACCTCATTTGCTCTGACCTGCATGGTGAGCTGTAAGGTCTTATATAGACAGATGTGTGACTTTCCTAATCAAGTCCAATCAGTATAATCAAACACAGCTGGACTTCAGTGAAGGCTAGGACCATCTCAAGGATGAGCAGAAGAAATGGAAAGCACCTGAGTTAAATATGAGTGTCACAGCAAAGAGTCTGAATACTTAGGGCCATGTGATATTTCACTTTCTTTTTTAATAAATCTGCAGAAAATTCTGTTTTTCTGTTAATATGAGGTGCTGTGTTGAGGAAAACAGTTCATTTAATTCTATTTTAGCAAATGGCTACAATATAACAGAGTGGAAAATTTGTCGGGGGTCTGAATACTTTCTGTACTGTATTAATGCACAATGTTTAAGATCAGCAAAAAAGATCATTGTCACAAAATACAGTTTTCAAATGATTTTATTTATCAAGTAAAACAATCTACCCAAACTGAATGCCATGTGAAAAAAATAATTGCCCCTCTTATTAAATCATGACATAATTATTAACCAAAATATGAGAGTTCCACTTGCCAAACCCAAATCCCGTAGAAATAAAGTGTCACTTCAATAGAAGCTGTTTGGTAGCAGGAAGTACGCTAAACGTCTCAAAAAAGCAACACAGCACACATGAGGTCTAATGAGGTTGAGGTTAGAGGTCATAATTCAACATCAAGAAAGGGAAGAGGTGCAAAAATGACACCATGAAAGAGTTCCAGGACCAAAATCTCTGCTAGTCAGAAATTTACTGATGATGCCCAAGGTTATCCTTGTCTGATTCTGACATTAACTGATCTGGATCATTCAAGTGTGACAAAAATAGCTAAATCTGATGTTATAGGCCTGTCTGCGCACTACCTTCCTAACAACTTCCAATAAAAACTTCTCCACGTCATTTTGAAAACACATCCCAAAAAACACATGGCGTCAAACTATGAGGAATGAGTTTCCTTGGTGACGTTCACTGGAATATTGATAGAAGACAAATGTGAGACAGACAAACTGAAATGACAGTAGGGCTGCAACAACGAATCGATAAATTCGATGAAAATCGATTACTAAAAGCGTTGGCAACGAATTGCGTCATCGATTCGTTGTGTCGCACAACTCTTCCAAAAGCGCCCCCCCCTTCCCGCCCGCCGTTGCGCGCAGACCAGAGCAAGTCAGATCAGCGCGAGGGAGAGCCGCAGATCAGCGCGAGGGAGAGCCGGCAGATCAGCGCGAGGGAGAGCCGCAGATCAGCGCGAGGAGAGCCGCAGATCAGCGCGAGGGAGAGCCGGTACAGGCAGATCAGCGCGAGGGAGAGCCGGCAGACTTGAGCTGCTGCGAACCGGTTCCGCATTGTTGCACAGCGATCCAGGCAGCTGCTTCCAGCGCACGGTCCATTCTCAAAGTGGCGCAACCAAAAGACTATAATTAGCACACGATCGTTCATGTCCGCACATGTTCTCTATTTTCTGTCTTATTTGTGCCTGAAGCGCGCTACTGCGGAGCTCATCACCTGTGCTGTGGTGATGTCACCTCACGCAGCATCGAAAACGCGCTCTGCGCTTTTCGGTCAGGAGATCCCTTTGACCTGCTCAAAAGTAACTGATGAGGTGAAAAGGTAAGAATCCAGGCAACAGATTTTCTGGAGAATTAAGAGGAGATGCAGGAAGATGAGAGACAGACAGGACAGGAAAATAGTTCAATAAAAACAAGAAAACAAAACAAAGTGTTGAAAAGTAAAATGTAGGTAGATTTATCTCCACTACACGTTTTTACCAGTAAAAAACAATAAGTTATACACATGTCATATTTATACATCTGATACAATTCAGATCACCTTCAAAACTCAGTCACACACCCAGGGCCGTTTCAAGACATTTTGGGGGCCAAGGCAAAATGCCCCCCCCCCCCCCCCCCAATAACTGGGCTCCCCAGAAGTCTCTGTGTAATTCATGCCCTCTCCAGTAGTGTTAGTTATATGGTGTTTATAAAAGCCCCTCAGACATTACTGACATGCTCTAATATTATCAGATGAAAAACTAAATTATCAGACATGCTGTCTCATCTGCTTATTTTATAAACTTGCAAAAAGTAACAAAACCATTTGAAAGCCACTATTTGTGGATTCTCTGAAAGTTTCCATGGAGTTTGTGACAACTTATTTTTTCATTGATCCTATCGTCTAATCTCACAGTTGAAACAAGCATCCTTAATAATCTGTGCACAGGAAGCTTACCGATGCTGTAGTAAAACAAAAGGTATAATAATTTATTATTAATAAAACCTTGTTGCAGCACTAAAGCAGAAAAATTAGATTTTGCATTAAATATGCAAAATATTTACATATGAATTGTTTTAGAGCCCTTTAATTGGCAGAATCTGATATTAATTTAGTTCTTACAAAAAATGGGTCCCAACATGGTTTGTGTGGCGTTGCCATAGTGTGACGTCATAGGCACAGATCCCCTGTCCTCTTGTTTGGAAATGGAAATATGGTCACCCTACATTAAACAAACTGTCCACCCGGGCTTTTGCGCTGCACAGAGAAGCTTCGCTGCCTACGACTGAACGTCAGTTGAGAGTCAGTCTCATGCAGACTGACCAATGAAGAGAGGGCCTCAAGTTAAGACCCTCTCCTCATTGGTCAGTCCACACGAGGTGGGTCAAAGGTTACTCTGGGCGGGTTACGTGTTGTCAGGCATTCAAGTATTGAGTATATTTACTGCATATTACAGTAAAATATTCTGTATGTGACCACATTATGGTGATCCTTGGGTCGTGATGATGGAGCCCTTGAATATTGTTGCCCAGGGTACAACAAAGTGTTAATCTGGCCCTGGTTCCGCCGTCACATTCCCGCAGAAACTGGTTGATCACACCGGGGCCAGACTACTAGCATGTGGTTTTACAACCACAATGTCCTCAGAAGCAAAAACGCTTTTAAAAGGGAGGGAGGAGTCCTAACTGTTGCTGCAGGCGTGTTGTGTGAGAGTGCAGTTATATACTGGTTAATATATTTTTGGGTTCAGTTGCTTTCATGTGGCCTAATGTGAGTCTATTTGGGATCATTGGAATGATCAGCAGCATTTCTTGATGTGACTTTATGGCAGTTGCCCAGGGCATCATCGCAAGGAGGATGGCATTCATTTACTTTTGTTTTATTTGGTATTTTTTCAGTCATTTTTGGAAATAGTGATCAATTTTGATAAATTCACAGCCTATGTTTAATTACATTTAAAATAAATGTCAACAGATGAGATCAAACAAAACAGATGAGAATTGCCCTTAAGCTGTTTAACTTGGACCAAGCATTTTAGGTCACAGATAGATGTAGCTTAGGGTCTCTGTCTATACACCTTATAAGACAATTTAGGTGATGGCATGTTGTTTTTCTGCTATTGAACTGTTTTCTAATAATGTTGTGTTAAATAAAGTGAAGGAAGGAGAGAAATAACGTTTCCCTAGCAGTTTTTAAAAATTTCCCCATGTAATCCGATTAATCGATTAATCGTGTCGAGACCCCATCCGATTAATCGATTATCCAAATAATCGTTTGTTGCAGCCCTAGACTTTAGTAACTCAGGTGAATTACTTAGTGCAGCATCCATTACCCCAGATAAGCGGACAAAAATGGATGGATGGACGTTTTTGTCCGCTTATCGGGGGTCAGGTCACAGGGGCAGCAGCCTAAGCACAAAGGCCCAGACTTCCCTCTCCCCAGCCTCTTAGGCCATCTCCTCCGGGGGGATCCGAAGGTGTTCCATGTCCAGCTGAGAGACGTAGTCCCTCCAGTGTGTCCTGGGCCTCCCTTTAGGCCTCCTTTCAGTTGGACGTGCCTGGAAAACCTCTCCAGGAGGCATCCTGACCAGATGCCCGAGCCACCTCAACTGGCTCCTCTTGATGTGGAGGAGCAGCGGGTCTACTGGGAGCCCCTCCTGGCTGACTGAGCTTCTCACCCTATCTCAAAGGGAGAGCCCAGCCACCCGTTTTAATGTACATTTGTAGAAAATCTATGAAGAGGCTTAAGCACAGCCTCCTTCAAACTACCATCCTGCTCAGGAAAGTTTTTTACTGCTGCATCGCCTCACAGATTTTTCCTCTTTTGTTTTTTTTAGGGTTGCAAACTCTCTCCGTCGTGTGTTCATGTCAGAAGTTCCTACAATAGGTAATCGTTTGATTCCCCTGCAAGCTGTCATTCAGATTAAGCTGTCATTTTTTTTAAGTCTGGTTTGGAAAAAATCCTAATTTTCTGGTTCAAGTCAGGTTTAGTTTGGTATCCCAAGTTTTCGCCTACAGGCCCTAAAAGCTAGGTTTGGGTATTTTGTGTCTGCGTTACTGAAACGACTAACCCAAGCTTATTCCCAGCGATCGATTGGATCCAGATTGATGCTAACTCGTCGGTGCTGCACGATGAGTTTGTCGCACACAGAGTTGGTTTGTATCATGAACTCATTTTGCTGATTGCAGTGTTGCATAAGCAGGATGTAACATTTCTGTGTTTGTTTTTTTCAGGCCTCATTCCTCTCACCAGCGATGACATAGTGGATAAAATGCAATATTCAAGGGTGAGTGTGGCGTTTCAGCACAAACGGCTGATTATGTTCGTATTCAAAGCTTCTCAGCAGGTCGAAGACCAAAGTGTTATAACGGAGTCTTTTCTTGTTTCCGCTGTAGACTAACATCGTTTCAGAGCTGTGTGATATTAAGTTCCTGTTGCAGTTATTGTGGATAAAGTTAACAGACGTATGGGAATAAATGATCAGAGTGGTTATTAGGGCTGCAACAACGAATCGATAAATTCAATGAAAATCGATTACTAAAAGCGTTGGCAACGAATTGCGTCATCGATTCGTTGTGTCGCACAACTCTTCCAAAAGCGCCCCCCCTTCCCGCCCGCCATTGCACGCAGACCAGAGCAAGTCATATCAGCGCGAGGGAGAGTCGATCAGCGCGAGGGAGAGCCGGCAGATCAGCGCGAGGGAGAGCCGGCAGACTTGCGCTGCTGCGAACCGGTTCCGCATTGTTGTGCAGCGATCCAGGCAGCTGCTTCCAGCACACGGTCCATTCTCAAAGTGGTTCAACCAAAAAACTATAATTATCACAGATCGTTCATGTCCGCACATGTTCTCTATTTTGTCTTATTTGTGCCTGAAGCGCGCTACTGTGGAGCTCATCACCTCTGCTGTGGTGATGTCACCTCACGCAGCATCGAAAACGCGCTCTCCGCTGTGTGGTCAGGAGATCCCTTTGATCTCCTCAAAAGTAACTGATGAGGTGAAAAGGTAAGAATCCAGGCAACAGATTTTCTGGAGAATTAAGAGGAGATGCAGGAAGATGAGAGACAGACAGGACAGGAAAATAGTTAAATAAAAACAAGAAAACAAAACAAAGTGTTGAAAAGTAAAATGTAGGTAGATTTATCTCCACGACACGTTTTTACCAGTAAAAAACAATAAGTTACACACATGTAATATTTATACATCTGATACAATTCAGATCACCTTCAAAACTCAGTCACACACCCAGGGCCGTTTCAAGACATTTTGGGGGCCAAAGCAAAATGCCCCCCCCCCCCCCCATAACTGGGCTCCCCAGAAGCCTCTGTGTAATTTATACCCTCTCCAGTAGTGTTAGTTATATGGTGTTTATAAAAGCCCCTCAGACATTACTGACATGTTCTAATATATCAGATGAAAAACTAAATTATCAGACATGCTGTCTCATCTGCTGCTTTTCTAAACTTGCAAAAAGTAACAAAACCATGTGAAAGCCACTATTTGTGGATTCTCTGAAAGTTTCCATGGAGTGTGTGACAACTTATTTTTTCATTGATCCTATCGTCTAATCTCACAGCTGAAACAAGCATCCTTAATAATCTGTGCACAGGAAGCTTACCGATGCTGTAGTAAAACAAAAGGTATAATAATTTATTATTAATAAAACCTTGTTGCAGCACTAAAGCAGAAAAATTATATTTTGCATTAAATATGCAAAATATTTACATATGAATTGTTTTAGAGCCCTTTAATTGGCAGAATCTGATATTAATTTAGTTCTTACAAAAAATGGGTCCCAACATGGTTTGTGTGGCGTTGCCATAGTGTGACGTCATAGGCACAGATCCCTGTCCTCTTGTTTGGAAATGGAAATATGATCACCCTACATTAAACAAACTGTCCACCCGGGCTTTTGCGCTGCACAGAGACGCTTCGCTGCCTACGACTGAATGTCAGTTGAGAGTCAGTCTCATGCAGACTGACCAATGAAGAGAGGGCCTCAAGTTAAGACCCTCTCCTCATTGGTCAGTCCACACGAGGTGGGTCAAAGGTTACTCTGGGCGGGTTACGTGTTGTCAGGCATTCAAGTATTGAGTATATTTACTGCATATTACAGTAAAATATTCTGTATGTGACCACATTATGGTGATCCTTGGGTCGTGATGATGGGGCCCTTGAATATTGTTGCCCAGGGTACAACAAAGTGTTAATCTGGCCCTGGTTCCGCCGTCACATTCCCGCAGAAACTGGTTGATCACACCGGGGCCAGACTACTAGCATGTGGTTTTACAACCACAATGTCCTCAGAAGCAAAAACGCTTTTAAAAGGGAGGGAGGAGTCCTAACTGTTGCTGCAGGCATGTTGTGTGAGAGTGCAGTTATATACTGGTTAATATATTTTTGGGTTCAGTTGCTTTCATGTGGCCTAATGTGAGTCTATTTGGGATCATTGGAATGATCAGCAGCATTTCTTGATGTGACTTTATGGCAGTTGCCCAGGGCATCATCGCAAGGAGGATGGCATTCATTTACTTTTGTTTTATTTGGTATTTTTTCAGTCATTTTTGGAAATAGTGATCAATTTTGATTAATTCACAGCCTATGTTTAATTACATTTAAAATAAATGTCAACAGATGAGATCAAACAAAACAGATGAGAATTGCCCTTAAGCTGTTTAACTTGGACCAAGCATTTTAGGTCACAGATAGATGTAGCTTAGGGTCTCTGTCTATACACCTTATAAGACAATTTAGGTGATGGCATGTTGTTTTTCTGCTATTGAACTGTTTTCTAATAATGTTGTGTTAAATAAAGTGAAGGAAGGAGAGAAATAACGTTTCCCTAGCAGTTTTAAAAATTTCCCCATGTAATCCGATTAATCGATTAATCGTGTCGAGACCCCATCCGATTAATCGATTATCCAAATAATCGTTTGTTGCAGCCCTAAATGACAGTAATGGACATTTTCCTTTTATTCCACAGCACTAGAAACCAGTCATAAAATACAGCTGTAGTTTAAAGTTTAGTTGTCACAAGAAAAAAATATGTGGCAGGTGTAAAATTACCATCCACTCGCTCTGAAGCTTCGGAGTTTGGATGCAGAAGAGGGGGACAAAAAACCAAAGACTGCTTTGGGTTTCCCCTCATTGTGGTGCAGTGTGTCGGTGGAGTTGAAACGAGCAATTCTTTCAGCAGTCTGGTCAGTGAACAGTTCAAACTTATCACGTCCAGTTACTCAATAAGTGACAATAAACTGTCAAACCTGCCTTGACCAGGTAAAGTTTCAGTGCTTTTTTTTTTTTTTGTGGGGGAAAAAAAGGGCCGTGCATTACTTTAAGGTGCAAGACATGAAGTTCTCATTACCATTCAAAGTGATTAAATACTGCCACCTTGTGGACAGATAGATGATAGCTGGAAAAGTGACAAAAAGAGCATGAATTCAAATAGGATAAAGTTTTTTTTTTCTCCAAAAGTGCAAATCATTCAAAATTCTCTGAAGGGGAACAGAAAATGCAGTCATGCTGGGCAAATCTAAAACAACTGCCTCTTGATTCGAACATTTTACATATTAAAACATTGTGTGCATGTCATTTTCACCATGATTAATGTATCATTCATAGATAAACTCTTGTAAAAATCAAAGAATTGCAACATCCACCTAGAAAGGTTTGAATTTAAGCGCATCACTCAGACTTTTCACAAAAAAGGGAAGTCACATTCTGAACAAGGACAAAACAAACAATTCACACAGAACTCTTATTGTCAGCTTTCACTCCCAATGCAGGAAATGCTTTCTAAATGCCCAGCTGAGCTCCAAATGGAGCTGAAACATACTTTCTTCCAATCACATCACATTATATGATCAAAATTAATGAAAAAAAACAAAACAAAACATAGTTCTGTGTCTTTTGATCATAAAACATTCATTTTGTTTTTCAAGCCTTCGAACATCTGGATGGTTTAACATGGTTGTAGTACACTGAATTGTTATTATGTATAAAATGTTGTGAAATACTACCGGTACTGGACTCAAGCTTGAGCGTTCACATTCCTGAGACACAAACAGCTGCTTTCCGGTGAAAAGTTCAGTCAGATTCTGTGTTTTGGTAAAGACTGGCCTTTGTTTTTGTTCTAAATATACATATATGAGCACTGAGTTCATGTTGGCAGTTGTTTGCAGTGGAATTAATTCAATTAAAAGACAATTAATCATAAAATACTAGTTATCACAACTACAGGACCTAAAGCTAATGCTAATGGCAAATCTGCAGAACAAGCTAGCTTAGGACATTTATTCATGCTTCTTAACGTCATGACATGGTATAGCTATGAATATTTTGTGGGGATAAAAAAAAGATTGAGAAAAAAATAATGAAGTGGTTTTGTCACATTTGTCTAAAAACCATTGCCAAAAACACAGCTCTGTCCGAAACCAACAACTGGACCACAGCACTTCTGCACTTACCTGGGTCCTTCATTCATTACACACTCGCATATTTAGCAACAGAACACCACTGGTGTGAGAGGATCTCTTAATAATATCAGAGAAGGAGAAACAGCCAGCTGCGACCACTTTAGGACAAACTACTAGAGTCCCAAAAAGAAAAACATAATTTGAAGTCAGACAACAAAAAATGTTTGGACTGAGAAACAATATCTCTAACTGTGGCGATGCGCGTTCCCATATCAGGCAGACATGGCCCAGGGATGACAGCTGATGGGAGGGGTGAAAGATATGTGGCTGCGTTTGTGTTTAAGAGCTAGCTTTTGTTTTGCAGATTTGCCATTGCATTAATTGAGGTCTTTAGATTCTCTGTTGTGTAAAATAAAATCATGATGGGTCAAGGTTGCATTTGTCATTCCTGCTAATAAAAACTACAGCTGTCGTACCCGGTACAGGGTGGAGCGATACCTCACGAGAGAGTTTAAAATGTAGCATAACCTTTCCCTGTCTGCATGTTTGTAGCTGAAAGGTACACCCGACGTTTGGTTTGGCACAACCAGCCTTCATCTAAAAACTAAACCTGTGATTCAGATGGAAAAATAATTCAATTCAATTCAATTCAAAGATACTTTATTAATCCCTGAGGGATTAAAATGTAAAATCTTTCCTGTTCATCCTTTGGCAGTGGTGAGGTGGCATTTGGCCAAGGCAACATGTCCCCAAAAAAGTGCTAAATCTCAAGTAAATAAGTCCTTTTGAGCCACAGCAGAGAGCGGCTCTGATACGACACGCAGCAGAAGGTGGACCAGTCCTCGCGCTGCTCACATGAGCTGTTTTACCCCTTTATGCATCCATGATGTTGCTCTACACATCGCTATGAGTATGGTCGGAAATGTGCTCACTGGTGCTTTACAATAACGTGCATATCAAGTAAACAATACAATCTGGAAAGGGAATAGTGAGTATTAGAATGAGGCTCTGGATGGAAGAGAAAAGAAAGGACTGCTGCTGCTTGATGGGTGAATGGAAATGGCAAAATATACCAAAGAGTCAGGCTCAAGAGCAACAGTGCAGTTACTGTCAAGAAGGAGAGACCCTCTTGTTGTTATGAACAAAAAGGGGTGGGGCCTGTCCAAGCACGGTGGATCAAGAGCAGACTGAGCACTAATGCCCACGTGCGGACGGGAGACAGGAAAAAGGCCATGAGGCCGTAGGTCTCCAGCAGAAAGCAACAGGAGTAGGCCTGCCAGGTGAGGAGCAGCAGCATCAGGAAGTGGACAGCCAGGGGCGGCCAGCGGCGACCCGGCTGCACAAAGTGTGATCGTAAGCTATTGCCGTGACATCGGTGGTGGAGGCTCCAGCAGAGGTAAGAGGTGAGGGGTATGTTGAAGAAGACCATCTGGCAGAAGGAAAATTTTTTTATTATTCAGAGAATATGAATCACTTACTAAAGGAAAGCATTTTAAAAACAACAGTGGCCTAAACTTGATGACAATAACCAGCTTCTAAAAGCACAATCAGACCAGCTAATGGCTTCTGCTGCTACTGGATGGAAATATTTATTAGGCAGTTTATTACAGTAATGAAAGTATTGGGAAAAACCATCTTACTTGAATGACTCCAACAATGTAAGTGAGACTGCCCTCCAGGAAATGTCCATTGATGAAGACCCCGTAGGCAAAGCAGGCGCCACTGTGGCCGTCGACCAGCTCTCCTATGAACCACGGACCTGAACCACGACAGGTATGCAGATTCTTTATGTTGAAGCATTTTGTTTTAGTCTGCATCTACAGTGTTAAAGGTCCTATATCAAGCAAAATCTACTTTTTCAGTAAGACACGTCGACGTGAATCTGCATCAAGCAGGAATCTGCGGTCTCCGGGCCTGCAACCAATGGAAGTGACATTGGGGGGGTGGGGGGGGGGGGGCTTGGGGTCATCAAATCCAAGCATCTTAGTTTTGGGCAGAAGTTATAGCTCAGGACTAAACAAAGAGATCTTAATGGAGCCAACAGTAATATTTTATCATATATTGTGCCTGCGGTTGCTTCAGATCAAGGGTGTCAAACTCAAATTCCCACTGGGACGAAGTCGCGGGCCAAACTCAATATTTTTTTAAAAGTAACGGCAATGTGCACATTTTCCCTTATCTACAGCTATGTATGGCTGAACCTTTTCATTTGGAAACAAACTTATTTTTGCAGTAACGCTGAATCTGGAATTAATTACACACGAGCAAATCGATTTTAACTAAAGCACGTCGGTGGTATTTGTTACTTATTATGTCTCAATTCTTTTAAATATTTTTATTCCTTAAAATGTGTACACACTCAGAATTTTTTATTTTTGAATCTTTTAAGTATTTCTATTTTATATTTTCTTGTTTATTCTTATTTTTCCCTCTCCTTTGTAGCTCCTTTTAATGAACATTATTGCTGCTGCGACACCAAGCTTTCCCCACTGTGGGACAATAAAGGGATTTTCTATTTATTTACATTCTATTCTTCCATCTGTAATGTTTCCAGCTCCTGTTTTAAAGTAGGTGAAGTCTTTTTTCCCAGGCCAACAACAAAAATAAATAATAGTAATTCTTTTAAATGAAAATGTAATCTCACCTATTACCGTTCATGCTTTGGAGCAGAAAAAGTGCATACAATCAAAATAATGCAAGCTCAGTTCGCTCCAGTCTAATTTACCGTGATGCTCAACTGTTCCAGCCAGAAACACCTGCATCTCTGGGGTTGGCTCTGAGCTGAGGAAGGAGTTCATCAGTGAGACTCCTGTGTTGTCTAGTTCATCTTCATGACAGACAACAGTTGCTCACATAAGTTTGTGCTGCTGAACATGGAGAGAATCTGAGCAGCTGGACCACGCAGTTGTGTCAGCGTGGAAAGACAAACACTGCAGCAGTCATAGAGTCATACTGACTTGAGTGTCATTAAATCATCTCGATGTGGAAGGTCGATGTGCTTTCTGTCAGCAGCAAACAGATTACTGAGCGGTTAAAATCCATTTCTGGGCTTCAAAGTCTGCAAATTGCTGATTAAACTCAGCGCTGAGTAAGAGGAGTGTTTTCAGTTTGGCCGATGCAAAGGACGGTACCGCTGCAGACGCCGATAAAAGTAGCATGGGTGCTAATGACTGTAAAGATACCGGTTTTTCCCTTTGAAGCATAAACATGTTCCATCTTTGTTGAAACTCCCTTCCTTCTGCATCAGTCTTTCTCTTCCTGGACATTTTGGGATAATTTGTGGATACAGGGTAACTGCAGGTTTAAGGGAGCCAAATTTAAGACTTTTGAAAACCTTTTCTAAGGCCACTTAGACCAAATTTAAGCAATTTTTTTAAATTAAATTTAAGCTATAATTTCCAGCTATTGCCTGGAACCGGTGCTAACCACGTCGCGAACGTGGGGTTAACCATCCAGTTACCATTAAACTTGCACTTCCCCATGGCGCAAGCTCCCACTAGCTTAACCAGCTAATGTGCTCATCTAAAAATAGCCCCCTTTCACAAGCAACTGAATGTGTACAGTTCCGCATATGCCAATATCATACACAAAAAATGCTGCACACTAACTAGAAATTCATGAAATTTTATAGAAATAATTGGGTCTTTGGTCATTCAAGACCATTGGAAACTGTATTTAAGGATCATTTGCCATTTTAAGGCCTTAAATTTGGAAAAGCAAATTTAAGACATTTGAAAGACCCGCGGGTACCCTGGGATAATTATTTTCACTCGTTGCATTAAGTAAACACAAATTTGGATACACTGCGACCTAGTGGTGAAATACTGCCACAGCACTGGGAATATGATCGCGATGCATTATGGGAAATGTAGTTTATAGTCAATGTATGCTTTGAAGGGCACAGCCTATTTTAGACACTTGAAGCTCTCGCGGGCCAGGGCCTTGTGACTGACACGTGTTCTGGAAGGTGAATATTAGCATGATAGAGGCCTTTTAAGGTTCAAAATAGAGGACAGAAGTTCCCCTACCTAAAGCCGTGTACAGGTTGAACAGCAGCAGAGAGTAGTAGAAGGTGTTCATTTTACTAATCAGGTGAAGAGACGTACACGCCGTGGAGAAATGTCCTGTAAAATAAAACAAATCCAAACATTCTCTGTTTACGCCATAGTTTCAGGTTTGTTCACAGCCATACGTCTGTCTGCAGCTCACTGGGATGAAGTTATTATCCAGGTGCCCCTCAGAAAGCAACACCTCTCACCTCTGCCAGAAGGAAGTTGTAGGAACCTGGAGGCGAGCAGCACACTGACGTTCAGCAGCACAGCGGATATAAAGAGGACTCGGCCCAGAATGTAGTGGTCTGTGAGGAGGATGAAGGACTGTGCAAAACCAAAACTGGGAGTCAGACCATCCTCCAGAGTAAAGTGCTGCTCTCGCACCAATGAGCGGCCGGCAGAGTCCTGATCCAAAAGTGGATACCAGAAGATAAATGGCAACAGGTGCAACAGTAGAACAAAACTTCAATTATAATTTTATCAAAATAATTACAGAAGCAACAGTACTAATAAGATCCATGATTATTTAAAATGAAATCACTGACCTCCACTTTAACTCTGATTGTGTGCAGCCCAGTGAGGTACAGAGATGGATCCCACTGCAGGACATAAAGAGGGCCTCCAGCAGAGTGGCCATTCCCCAGAGCTTCCCCGTCGATGCTCACGTGCACAACAGTGATCGGGACTTCTGAGAAGGCTAAGATCCTTCAGGAGGTTGCATGGTGGAAATAAAACATCAGTACAAGTGCAACCGGGGGAAATACATCTAAAACAATAAGGAGGAGTCTGCACAGATACCTGACGTGTGTCGATTTCCTTATCCGCCCTAACGGTTCAACCCCGGGGTGGAGGTACTGGGCGTCCTTCGGGTTTGTGATGAGAACTGCAGGCCACTGCTCAAACCGCAGGTCAGAGAAGCTCAACAGGTCATGGTCAAAAGCCAAGACTCTGTACCTGCGCAAAGATGGGAGGAGATGTTACTAAACAAACAAAGTCAGGAGAGGGAGGAGAATCTTACACACCTCCGGTTTTCCATCCAGTCACCCAGCTCCAACTCTAAGGTGCCTTGTGGATGTCGGCTGTGAAGGACGGGCATCAAGCCACCGAGTGTGTGCAGGTGGCCACACAGATACGCAGCTGCAGACCTTCAAAATAAAAGCCCAGACACGTATATAAGCAAAATGTCTGCAACAAAACCAGTTGGAGAAAATAACCGTTTGCATTATTTGATTGTTTAAAAACTGGTACAACATTTAGCACCTCATCGCGTCTCTGACTCCTGGAGATGGGGAGACAATAGTAGAGGTGGTGTAGTGGCCAAACCAGATCGACTGGTTGCTCCTCAGACTCTCAGCTCTGAATGTGTCCAGCAATTCCATCTGGCTCTAAAATATAAAATAAACAAATAAATGAGTAAATTTATGATTAAATGAGATGATTCTTAGGTCATCTGGCCAATTTTTAGACAACAAATGCAAAGAGCTGTGATTGGAAAATTACATGCAGAACAGTTTACATATGCATTTCCAATTATGTAAAACTTTCAGATGCTGCCTTGCAGCTAAAACACCTCAACTTTAACCACTTTTGAAATATATTAAACTTAACTTAAAAAAACTTCAGTTTCCAATAAATTTTGGTTTCATAATTTATACTCATAAATTATAATCCCTGCTAAAAAGCTCAACTCTGCCACCTGCTGACACAAAGACGTGCCAGCACTCTCCTTAAAACGTGAACTCTGGATGGCATTTCCTAGCTCGGTGAGACCGATTTCAGTCCATCCATCCATTATCTGAACCACAGTCAGGATTTAAACCTGCAACCTTCTCACTGTGAGACTACCAACTGAGCCACCATGCGGCCATATTGATTTCAACACTGAACAAATTATTATGATTGATTTTTATCATATCCAAACAACTGTACATATCAGTTTAATGCCATAAACTTGGTAGGTTGTAGCTCTTAAGTCTGACAGAGACTCACAAAACTGGAATTTACCTGATCGAGAATACCAACAAAGTTATATGGTCTCTTTGGTCCCGGGGTCAGGGTGGCATCGACGCAGACGAACGAGTAGTTTCCAAATGGAGTTTTGTGAACATAGTGGAAAGATCCAACTTTCTGATTAGCTGAATATTTTCTAAAAAAATAAAAAAGGAACAAAGCAAAGAGTAAATGTCAATCAGAGCAGCAGGACACAATACACTGGTCTTGTCTGGAGTGAAGATACTTCGATATATAAATGAATGCTAGAGAACCCTAGAGACAGCACTGAGAAAATTAGAGGATTAATTAAAATATTATAAATATTCTATCAGACAAAGAACAGCAGAGATCCAACTTCTGTTCTGGTCTTTGTGAAGCTTTTGCCAACTTTTCTCTCCAAACCAGTCACAACTCCAGTTTCAAAAGAGCAGAACTCTGAATCCTTGAGCAGACTCTTTATCTGGATACTGACCTGTAATAATTGTTGATGCTGTCCAGTGAAATTATGTTGAAAGCATCTGATGGAAACATGAAACAGTGAGACCAAGTCATCCATTGAATCAATAAAAAGAAGATTTCATTAGGAACATAGGAGGATTACATGAATTATTATAAAACTGGTGTTACAGTGCAGCCTTATTAATAAAATTAATGGATGATTGTAGATAAATGTGAACAGCAAAATCATTTGGATTCAATTGGTCTTTGCCAGACACACGACCTGCATGTCAACCACAACCCCTTAGCGCCACCTTGGGTGTAAGACTCGCGTTGCTAGGATAAGCCGTGGCCAAAGGTCAAGCAGCACACGAGTGAAAAGGATGGTTAAAAACAACAGGGACGAATCTAACCGGCCTAGTGGTAGAGTGTACGCCCTGAGAGATCGAGGTGAAAAATCCCGGTCAGGTCATACAAAAGACTTTCTAAAAATGGGACCCAATGCTTGACACTCAGCTTTAAGAGGTTGGATTGGGGGGGTTAAACAACCAAAAAGTTCCCGAGCGCAGCCACTGCTGCAGCTCACCGCTCCCCGCAGGGATGGGTCAAATGTGGAAGACAATTTTCACCATACACCACCAGTGTGTGTGTGTGTGTGTGTGTGTGTGTGTGTGTGACAACTATGGGACTTTAATCTTTAATCCCTTACAGTGATAAACTTCTGAAGTGAGGTAGGATCGATATTTTCATAAATGGCCTACAATCGACAGCGTAGGTCCTTACGACCTCAAAGCAAACAAATAGAACTCAGATGTTTCATTATCGCCGAAAATATATCACGTAGCACAACTTCAACATATTTATAATCAAGTAAAAAAAAAAAAAAAAAAACATTACTCCACTAACACAGGCCAGGTTTTCTTTTCTGGATGGGCCTTAAATAAACAAGTCATTATTAGAGACCGGACTACTGACATTTCCAGATCTGGTTCAATTTAAAACAGCACAAATATAAGGCAAAAAAAAAAACAACCAACTTCACCTAAAAATAACAATGAAACTGTTTCATGTCAAGGATGGAGGGTACAACCTAAGAGCCCATTTGAATTTTAAAACACAGTCTTTCAGAACAACATTAAAAGCTGGTGCATCTCAGTGGCAGGTGTTAAAATATGGAACGGTCTAACAGACGACATAAAGCAAAGTAAGAACATGAGCCAATTTAAAAGAAAATTCAAAGAACAAACTTTTAATTCATATAGAAATGAAGAGCAGTAAAAACCTAGAAAAGTTTATAAATTATTGATACTGTATAGATGAGAGCCTTGTTTTGTTGGACCGCACAGTTGCAACAGTGACTTTGTTGCATTTCCTTTTTTCCTTTCCATGTTTTTTTTAAAAGGTGTAAATTTGTTAAAATGAATGAATTGATACTCTTAGTTTAAACTGGATTTATTTTTATCTCTTTTGAAACATTAAATATTTAAAGGGGGTAGGGCCTTAAAAGTGCATACTTCAACCTACCTCCGTTTCAAACAATGTTGATTGTTACAAATTATGTTATTTACTTTATTTTTAATTGTTAATGTTTGAAAAAAATAATTATCAATATAAGTTACAAGTAGGTACAAAAACAATACCTACATTCAGAGGTTACGCTGGACATTTTGTTGTGATTTTCATTTATCAGATAATAATAAATAAAATCTCACTATTTAATTTTCATTAATATTTAGTCTAAACAAGCTGACCAGCATGTCCAGCAACATATTATTGTTGAACAATTTCACCTCAAGTAGGAACATTTCACCTGCTGTGTTCTGGTTCTGCTGCTGGCCTGTGACCCATAGCGAGCTGCACCGAGCATGGTGTCCTAGTCTGAGAAAATGCTCAGATGTTCTGATGGGAATCATTTAATGGATTTTGTTACCTCCGCAATGTCTTCTGTGCGTAATGTTTAAAATGTCTGCACACCTGCATGTGTCAGGGTAACTGTAGTCTGTCAAAATGACCAACGGCCATCAAAATAAATTTAACTCTTTTTGCCTTCTTGTGAAGACAGCATGGCAGCTCTTCACACAACAGGGGTGTACCATTTTCTGCAGGTTTATAAGCTTACAACACACAAAGCGACCGATACTTCTGTTGTTTATACACTCAGCTATCCCATCATGCAATGCGCTACAGCACCCAATATGTCATCTGACAAAGACCAACTGCAAAGCAGAAAAGGAAAGGTGTGACCACTTCCTGTGTGACGTTAACTGACTCAAAAATCCTCAGAAGGACACTGTCGGAAAACGACCGAACTTCGGCGTTTTTGTGCTTCAACATGGCAAAATTGATTACCATGATTTCCTCGAATGTCAATCCATTTGGTGCGCTCCATCACCCGTGACCTCTTCAGGACGTTGTGGTAGGCTTGCCACTCCACCTCGTGCTGAAGGGAACCTACCTTACTCTCTGTTTTTGCATCTGTTAAGTCACCTGTCGAGAAAAACAATTCAATCAGGAAACAAAATCAAAACAGGACATATCTATTGTGGAGCACATCCACAGCTTTAACCTGATTCCAAATATTGATGGACTCACAAAATGTCAGGATGCGGCTTTAATCAGAGCTTTAGTTATTATGTGCTTACATTTCTTTTATGTGATTTTTCCTGACAGATACTGAGAGAGTAGCTCATTATTGGTCAACAGTAAAACTGAACAATAAAAGGATAAATGACCAGCACTTGTATAACACCTTTCAGAGTCAGAGAACTCCAAAGTGCTTTTATACTAAAGTGTATCATTCGTCCATTCCCACACACATTCACAGATTGATGGTGATGAGCTGAAATGTAGCCACAGCTGCCGAGGGGTACTTTGACGCACTGAAACCAATAGGAAGCTTTAACCTCAGCGTGGCTGTGGTTTCAGTAAGAGAGAATCATTGCACTTTTGACTAAAAATCGATCTGAGAATGAACTGAGGAGTGAATCTTTCTAAAAATGGAGCATGAAGGAAGCACGTAGATAGAAAACAGTGGTCCAAGACCCTTGATGAGCTTCAAGGGGCTGAAGAAGAAGAGCAACACATTCATTCAATAAAACTAATAATCAGTAAACCATGGGTGTTCACAAATCTAAATGATACACATTTCAGAATGAATATATTCTGTATTTCTTTTTCAAAATGACACAAATTGCCTTCAACTTGGATCTGATATTTAAAACACTGGCATCCTGCCTTAACACTTTATTTGGTCAGATTTGAAACAACTCGACTGTACCTGTTGCCAGCACAAGAGCTGGGTTGATCACCTGGATGGTGTCGGTGCAGAACTTCTCAAAGTCTGGAATCCGCTTTGGGTCGTGAAATCGACTTATGTGAATGTCAGATACCTTCAATTACACGTATAAAACAAACAATGCAGCAGTGTGAGGGCTGTAAAACACTTGAGCACGATCTGTCTGCAACCTGCATATAATAACAGTGACCCTTTTCTGTCAATCATTCATCCAGTTCCCCAAACTCTAAAGCCAATGATTACTACGTTACACACAGGCTACATTGGTTGCTATAATCATGTTATACTCCTCTAGCTCAATATACAGCTAGAAGTGCAGAATGACAGCGCACCTGTATAAACCAGAATACGTTGTTCAACTCGCCGCCGGGAAATGGTGGTGTACTCCCCCTTAATCCACCTCCATCGCCGACAACCGGGTCCCGAACGCTGCGTTTCGGATGCCAAGTGGTGTCATACCTATCCAGCATCCAGGAGGCGATACCAGCCAGGACCAGTCCGAGGATGACCAGCGAACCAAACAGCTTCAGCATCCTCCTGTGGCGACGAGAAAGGGGGCCGTCTTGTCCAGGACAGAAAAAGAGCTAGCTACGGCTAAAGGGGATGAACCACACTAACATCTACACACTAGCTCCATGGCTAACAGCTAAAGCTCAGACCGTCTATGTCGCTGCCACCGGGGCCACGGGAGAGGCATGAATGTGCGGGGTTCGTTCACGGCTCCGTTCAGCTGCCTTCAGGGAGACGGAAGAGGGGGTAGCTCAGTGGTTAGCCAGCTGCTCCCAACAGCTCCAACCGGTAGGCGAAAAGATCACGTGTACTACGAAGAGCTCCCACTCTGACAGTTTTCCAGAGTACCTGACTGTGCTTCCTCGTAACCTGTATTATGTCACTTCAGTAAAGTTAGCAAGATATTCACAGATTCGACTTTTGCGGCTCAATAACTTCTGAACAGATTAATATTTCGAAACATAATATACATCGTTGGAGTCGTGGCAAGGTAGTGAAAAATATGTTTTTTTAAACGTCATCAGCTAAATTGTGCCCTGTGAGCCTATGAACCTTGAGCGATCAGGGACCGTGTGAAAATAGAATAACCAGAAACGACTCATAATCAGATCTTTAAAAAAAACAGCACACCTGAACGCTGCAGTGTCACCAAACTTACAAAATATAGCACTACACAGTGTTGTTCAAACTACACTGGTTAGTTTAACCCAGTAACACATTTTTTACTTTGGGCAAAAATTTAAATGATGTAAATTTAAAAATGTCCATTTTGAATTGTGGTGACACAAAATTCACACAGCAAATTATCATTGGATGCCGATCATACTACACTGAAACATCTAGTGACACCAAATTGACACCAACACATTACCACTTACCTTAATCTACATACTACACCTTTAGTTTTTTTACTTCTCCAATGTTGGGTGAATCTTTCAAACTTAGATTTTTCAATAGCTCATACACTGTGTCGTGAGTCAGGCCACCGGGCTAGCTCTAGGTGTTAAGTCTTAAGGCCCTGACTCATGGTACTGGATGGTGGGCTTGACCTCTGACCCCTCTTGATGAAACACCCTTATTCTGTGGAGAGATGTGCAACCTTGTGTATTCCTAGGCTTTAAATCTGGTAAAATTACCTTTATTTTGCTGTAGGAAGACTCTGCTGTACCAAAACACACTGCATGAGCTTATACAGGCTCAATCACAGACCCTGGTCAGCCTTCCCCCTTAACAGGAGAACGCTGATGTAACAAACTTGGGATGGAATGAAGCAACCAGCAAACTCGCCTTTTGCTGTGCCAGAGAAGGAGGCCCCCACATGTTGTTTTTTTAATTCCTTCCCGAAAGAGGGAAATGCTTATTCCACACACAAAAAGGAAAAAAGGTACTCCAAATAAGGAACAATAGCGTAGGCTAAATAGGAAAAGCTCTTATTAAAAACCCGAGATTCTAGCAGATCTGAGGAGAAAAACAGATCTTTGTGTCAACACACTTCTCTACCACCAACAACTTCCAAAAATCAACCCACAACCCAACTCCCAATCATACCCAGCCAACACTTTTTATTTAACCCCTCCCACCGTCATGCATTACGATATTTTTTCATTCTTCCGGGCTGTTTCTTGTTTTATTACTGTCTAGAATCAAAGGTCAAGTTTTTAAACACCTGTTGAGAGGAAAAGAGTCACATCTTTATTTTTGCAGCCCCTCGCATCTCTTGCAGGCTGACTCATCTTCTGCAGTGTGACTTTTTGTGGTTTCCTGTCCTCCCTTTCATGCGCATGGCCCCATCTTCTTTTTCTGTTTTTGTCACACATGCAGTCCTTTTTTGGACCTCATGCTCTGGTTTCACACCTTCACACCTTTGGCATCTCACACATTCACACCTTTGGCATCTTGGTTCCGTTGGACCCAGTCAGTTTGTTCCACAGAACTGAGTGCAGAGAGGGGGGCTAGCGGGGGCAGGGCAGGGGCCACATACACACCCAGAGTCAGGGGCGGAAGTGCAGAGAGTGGGGGCTTACTTTTTTGAAGAAAAAAAAAACTTCTCTGATTTTTCACGAATTTATAAAACTTTGTCATTTCAATAGCTTCTACACTATAAACTCTATTGACACAAAATCATGTCTGCTGATCAACACTTACCTGCTCTACATACTACATCTTTGACTTTTTGGGGGGAAAATCCATCTATCCATCCATTTTCTTCATTTTCACCCGGTAAATCAAGAGCTTCGCCTTCTAGCTCAGCTTTCTCTTCACCACGACAGACGGGTACAACGCCCACATCACTGCAGATGCAGCACAAATCCGCCTATCGATCTTGCGCTCCAGCTTTCCCTCACTCGAGAACAAGACCCTGAGATAGTTAAACTCCTTTACTTGGGGCAGGACCTCATCCCTGACCTGCAGAAGGCCTTCTACCCTTTTCTGAATCAAGACCATGGTCTCAGATTTAGAGGAGCTGATCTTCATCCCAGCTGCTTCACACTCGACTGCAAACCGCTCCAGCGATAGCCGAAGATCACGTTCTGATGAAGCCAACAGGACCACATCATCTGCAAAAAGCAGAGACCTGATCCTCAGGCCACCAAAACGGATGCCCTCAACACCTTGGCTGGACCTAGAAATCCTGTCCATAAAGGTTATGAACAGAATCGGTGACAAAGGGCAGCCTTGGCAGAGTCCAACTCTCACTGGGAATGAGCCCAACTTACTGCCGGCAATGCGGACCAAGCTCTGACACTGGTCATATAGGGACCTAACAGCCCGTATCAGAGGGCCTGGTACCCTATACTACTGGAGCACCCCCCACAGGGCCCCCAGAGGGATTTGGTCAAACGTCATCTCCAAATCCACAAAACACATGTAGATTGATTGGGTGAATTCCCACGCACCCTCCAAGATCCCCCTGAGGGTACATAGCTGGTCCACTGTTCCACGGCCAAGACGAAAACCACATTGTTCCTCCTAAATCTGAGGTTTGACAATCCGATGGACCCTCCTCTCCAGAACCCCTGAATAGACCTTACCAGGGAGGCTCAGGAGTGTGATCCCCTCTGTAGTTGGAAGACAACCTGTGGTCCCCCTTTTTAAATAGGGGAACCCCCACTCCGGGCTGCCGGTCCAGTGGGACTGCCCCCGATGTCCACGTGATATTGCAGAGCCGCGTCAGCCAACACAGCCCCACAACATCCAGAGCCTTAAGGATTTCATCTACCCCTGGAGCCTTGCCACAGAGGAGCTTTTTGACCACCTCAATGACTTCAGCACCAGAGATTTGAGAGCCCAACTCAAAGTCCCCAGACTCTGCTTCCTCACTGGAAGACGTGCTGGTGGAATTGAGGAGGTCTTCGAAGTATTCTGCCCACTGATCCACAATGTCCTGAGTAGAGGTCAGCAACACACTGTCCCCAAAATAAATAGTGTTGGTAGTACACTGCTGTCCCTTCCTGAGGTGCTGGATGGTGGACCAGAATTTCCTCAAAGTTGTATGGAAGTCTTGCTCAATGGTTTCACGGGACTCCTCCCACACCCAGGTTTTTGCCTCCGCGACCACCCAAGCCACATTCCACTTGGACTGCCAGTATCTATCAGCTGCCTCTGGAGTCCCACGGGCCAAAAAGACCTGATAGAACTCTTTCTTCAGCTTGACAGCATCCCTAACTGCTGGGTCGGGGGTTGCCACCACGACAGGCATCGACGATCCTGTGGCCACAACTCTGGTCGGCCACCTCAACAATGGTGGCACAGAACAGGGCCCATTCAGACTCAATTAGAATCGGACTTATGTTAAGAAGAAGAAGAAGAAGAAAATATCATTTCTATAGCGCCTCTCAAGATAAAAATCACGAGGCACTTAAGGATAATTCTGCGCACACGAAGACGCATAAGAGACCTGGATGATGAAGCTCAATGGTTAAAGGAATCACTGAAGCGGTGTGAAGCTCTCCGTCGCGCGTCTAGGCGGTACAGTAGGAGGCGAGCTGCCGTGGTTTGCCGAATGCTACAGCAGCTGGCTATCTAGGTGCGCACGGCGTCCCCCGGTCCCCTCCTCCTCCCCCTCCCCCTCCCCCTTGTCCGGAACACTATCTCACCAGTCTGAAGCAGCCACCCTGTCTGTAACAAGTCCGGACCTGTTACTAGGGGCTTCGTCCGGTTAAATTCCGGAACACGTTATCCGGATGTTTGTATTCAGACACAAAGGTCTTACGGACAGAGTCCGGAACATTTCCGTTTTTCATGGCCTGTCTGAAGGGGGCTTATGAGACTCCTTGGTCTGTGTCTGTAGCATCCTGCTATGATGACCTCTTTGAAGAATTCCTGTTGTCTTCTGTGATGTGTAGGTGTGGTTATCTCTGACTTGGTGTGGTTCCTAATAAAAGCTCTCCGCAGCTTTAATTCTGGGTGAGAACA